AAAGAGGAGAGTGAAAAAGTTGGCTTAAAGCTCAACATTTAGAAAACTAAGATCATGGCATCTGGTCCCATCACTTCATGGGAAATAGATGGAGAAACAGTGGAAACAGTGTCAGACTTTATTTTGGGGGGCTCCAAAAAAATACAGTGCTAAGTATGTAGTAAATAAATAGTAACTTTCTTTGATTTTATTCACCTCACTCATTGATCTACAGGGACCAGTTGGGGGAAGATGGGTCACCATTTACTTATTTTGTGATTTGCGGCAGGGCGAACGTGGGGAGGCAGGGCCTCCTGGACGAGGGGACCGAGGGGAGCCTGGAGCCCCTGGACCAAAGGTCAGTTATTCTCACACTGGAAAACAACATTCTCAGTTTGGAAATGTATACCACTTACTTTTAGAACATGCAAGTAAAATAAAATTATTCAAGGGGTATCAAAACAACCCCAAATCACAAATAATTCATTGAAATGCATACCAATTTGTTATTTTCTAAAAGGGGTTTTACAGTTCAACTTTTCCAGTTTACTCTGTTCTATTCAGTCAATAAATTTAATAACACATCCAAATGTCAATGGGGAGGGACTATCACATTAACACATTACCCCTCTAGGCATATTGAAACCTACTGAGTCCAGTGATTAGGACTCTGCAGAGGGCACAGGTTCAACCCCTAGTCAGGGAACTAAGATCCCACAGGCTGAGAGACATGGCCAAAAACAAAAAAATCCCTGCATTTAAAAATATATATGTAAAACAAAAATAAACAAGCAAACAAAAACCTACTGAGGGAAATATGGGTCCAGACTGTGTTAGTTTCCATGGTAACTTGATGGTGTGTAACACCTTGAAAATATGAGAACTAAGGGTTTATTTGACTATTCAATCTATTCCTCTAAACTTCCTGCAAACTATGTGGTAACACTTTATTTTAATAACCCATCCTAGAGACATTGGGAAATGACCTCCTCTTTGATGAAAAGGAAATTTATAAGCAAACACTTTTGAGACTACTGAGAATTATCTAGAGAACTCTTCCCATCCACCAATGGGTGGTCAGTCTTTAGAATTATGATGACATGAAGGTTGGTGAAGAGACCAGGGGTGAACTAATGGTGTGCTGATAATACTTATGTTTGGTGTTGCAACAGTTTACTTTATATAGAATTAAGGCAGTTAAAATAAAGTGTTTCCATTTTTCTTCATTATTCTGAGTCACTGCTAATTTCTTTTTTCTATTCTTATCTCCCTCTATCATTTTCTCTTTTCCATCTTCATATTCTTCTATAATAGGGGAAACAAGGTGAATCAGGAACTAGAGGCCCAAAAGGGTCAAAGGTCAGTAACCGGGTAACCATTTTAACATAACATGAGGCCACCGAGAGCTGTGCTTCTTGCCTTTTCCGCAGGAAAGTCATATTTTGGATTGAACTCTTTCGTACACTGGGATTGCCGTAATTTCATCCTTATGATGATATCTCAGGACAGTTGGTTTGTTTCATCTTGTTTTTGTGTTCCTGTGCTTCAGACCATTCTTTAAGAGAAAATGTACTTCCTGTTTCATAAATATAGCTTGTTTGGAAAAAATTAAGTACTTTACTTAGTTTACATTATGTGCAATATAATATTATTTTTTATCTCCTGGCTATCTTTGTGATAAATGTTCAAATATAGTTTGCTTTTAAGTCAGTTGACTCCCTTCATTGCATTAAAATTTCACCACCAATGGAAATTCTCTCCTTTATCAAATAATCTGTATACTATTAGCAGAATCATATTATTATTAATGAGTAGCATGGGAAATGGGGAAAGCAGAAAACAGATATAATTCTCCATTCAAGCAAATTTAATTATTATGGTCAGTGTTACTAGCATATTGTGGATAGAAAAAATCATAATCCTTTTTACTGCTTATCTTCACCGGTCCTTATTCCAGTTTATAAGGATATGTAGAAAGATACAGAAAAATGCTTTGAATCCTGTTTAGTAAAAGAGCTCTGTAAATTTTAGGCTATTTCAAAGAACCCTCAGTTCTACACAGGTTCAAATATCTCCTCCAAATTTTCTGTTGAGATTTCCGAGACTTTCTGAAGTGTTCTTAGTGATGTATTCTGCAATTTGAGGCTTAGGTGATTCCTGGTGTCTGTCCAGGAGTAGGGGTGAGGTGGCAAAAACACTATAAATGGACATTTAAAGACTTTTCTTAGTACACTGGAAAAGAGAGAGAGAGCTAGGTTTGCCCAGCTCTTGACCTTCAGCCTGGCCACCCTAGTCTATCAGGCTGCTGCCCTCTTCAGCACTTCCTAAGTAGACAAGTTTTCCTTAGATACTTATCATCAGAGGGAGACCCACGGGGGACCTTTCCCTCCTAAATCTCCCAACACTGGGCTCCTGGTTGATCTCTCTTTCTTCCTTGTCCTGATTATCCACACTTTTTCTTCTTAGAGAACAGATAACCCATTAACTGGTTGGCTCTTTTCCCCCTTGCACCAAATCTCTTCACATAAAAGCAAGAACATGGCTCAATCTAGAGATTAAAGCTTAACTTTAGGTGTCTTAGAAGCCACTTGCTTTGCCTTTGAAGGTCCCTAGTAAACAATTAGTACTGTATGTATTGCTGTTTCAAGATACTCTGCCATCTGAAGGGGGAAATTTAATTCACTTTAAGGGGCATCTTAAAGAAGCGTTTGCCATGTCAGGGGTTATTGTATTTCATGTTGCTATTTGACATTTCAAAAGTTCATATTAAAGATGGCACTGAATGACAGTAAATACTTGGATTTAAATCCTTGGATTAAATACTTGGATATCAAATCCTTGGATTTGAGATATTTGGGGACTGTTGGCCTCACTACTAACTAACAAGGTTCTTTTTCTCTTTTCACTGGGGAAAGGGCGATCGTGGAGACAAAGGAGACTCTGGAGCCCTGGGACCAAGGGTGAGTGTGTCTCATCTACAGCTTCAGCCTCCAACAAGTCTAGATTTGAAGTGTGTGTCTATGTGGCTTTTCACAAGGCACTTGGATTACTAATACCCAATAATAGCACAGCAGGTAGACTACTGTGAATATTCCTGCTACCCCTCCCTTTCTCCCTATTTTTTATTGTAGTCACTAGGAGCACTGAGTTTGTAAATTTGGACACATGAGATAAGCTCCGCAAGAAGTTGTAAAGAACTCTGTCTACTTTCCCTCTGCTAAATGAGCAGTAGCAAACCCACAGCCATCTAACAATAGAACTTTCCACTTTTCAATTAACTCAATTATAAAGAAAGAAATCGTCCAAATTTTCAGAACCTTTTTAAAACACAAAGAATTAGGACATAACTAATGGAAATTCAGTGGCAGAGCTACTGAGTAGGGTAGACATCTTAAAAATATTTATTCCCTCCATATATATATATTAAAATATATATATGCACATGTATTTATTCCCTGTTTGATTCAATTTTAATGGAGTTCTATTCCTGTTGGAAAAGCAAGCATTTCCTGTAGTATAATGTTCTATCTTCTTAAAGAATTAGGAAGCAGTCTTTGTGGTGTGGATGAGAAAGATGTCAGGGGTTGCTTTAATAAATATAGATAAAGCCAGCAAAATTCTATCAGTCAAATCAGATTAGCCTACATATAATAATTTTCAGGGAGCAGTTTTTGATATTGAATCTTTTTTCTTTTTTATCTGATTTAATATCTTTAATATACCATAGAAGTAGTTTGCCTGCTTTGAAATAAGGACAAACTTTGAACATGATTTATTTATTTTAACATGTATTTGGGCCTCAATCGAGAATTGATGGTCAGAGAGAGCATGCGTGTTACTATTCCTGTTTCTGCCACAGTCCCTTCTCCATCCTAGCCTAATGTTCTCTTGGTTTATTTTTACATAGGGTCCACCTGGTCAGAAGGGAGATCCAGGAGCCACTGAAATCATAGACTACAATGGCAACCTCCACGAAGCCTTGCAGGCAAGTGACTGCTCCCCATCCTGACACAGACAGGGACACCGATGAGACCCGTGTAATGTATGGAAACATCACCTTCCACCTGCCTCAGATCTCAGAGGGTTCTACCACTCAAAGCACACCTTCTCCCTCATCTCTTGAACCCAGCTTCTTCTCCTTGGCCCAGTTTATCCTCTTTATTTCCTAGTGTTTTTCAATCCTTCCTTTTTATTTTTCTTATACCACCAGACATATTTAGTTTTATCTGGTTTAACTTATATTGGTTTTGCCTATCTTTGTCTCCTTTCTTGAAAAGTGAACTTAGCAAAACCATTAAGAGCCCTGTGGCTCTGGAGTTGGAGCTGCCTGGGTTCAGGTCTCTTGCTTATTAAGTGCATGAGCTAGAGCAAGTTATTTAGTTCTCCATGAAATGAGGACAATAATAGTATCTGCCTCAAAACATAAATAGGGTTGTTGTGAGAAGTAGATGACTAAATACTTGGAAACGTGCCTGGCACATGAGTCCCCTATAGTTGCTTCTTAATACTGCTACTTTGCAGTTCTTTTTCTTTCATCAAGTAAAAACACATAGATGGTAGTCAAGAGGGTTACTCTTCTGATTTTCCTAAATTATCACTATTTTGGTGACCCCAGTTTGTTCAGAACCCTCAGTGACCCCTTGCCTACTCTATCAAGTCTAAGCGTCTCCATCTGATGTTTAAGGCCCTATAACCCTGTCTTTTCTATACAGATGTTTTTATTTCTCCACAACATAGTTATCATATCTATAAAAATCGCTCTTTTCCTGGTTCTCTTTTTCCTTTCATTCATCCATCTAAATCCCCTTCAACTGTTCGCGGCTGCCACCCAGACGAGTTCCTCCTCTGAATCCTTTGAAATATTAGCAGTCAGGACCCAGTAGTTTAACATTTAACTATTCTCCAAAATCCCCTAATTTACTTTAGTCCTGCCTCTTACCAAATTGTAAATTACTTGTTGACGGAAACCTTGTTGTGTGGTTATTTTGACTCCCACAATGTGTCCAACCCAGGTCTGGGGATGTAAATATTAAATAAAGTTATTGGTTGAATTAGTGATTATACTTAGTTCATAAGCACAATCTATTTCTCTGCTTGAAAGTCAAATTAGCTGTTTTAAATATTTTCCATTTTGTACTTGCTTGAATTTTTTCCCATCTATATGATTTCACTAGCATTATCAAATTATGGTAGATCTACTACACTTTTATGTGTCCTTTGTTACAACTGTCATTTTTAACCAGTAAAGCATTTATTACATAGTTTTTACAGAAGCTATCTTCAGCTAAGCCTATTTTTCATTTCTTTTTCTTCTTCTGGTAAAGCACAAAGAAAAGCATGCTTACTGCTTGGAGAAACATCCCTTGGGCAGTGTGTTCAGTCAACAGCTTGTGGTGTTTCTCACCACAAGTGGATTAAACTCAAGCAGTAGATTCTGGGCTCCTGTCAAGTTCTAGAACCTGCTTTCTAAAATTGCCCCCTGTTCCCCAGAAGTTGCTATCTGCGTGTATAAAGAAAGAAAAGAACAGGAAGTTTTGGTTACCTACTATGTTGTCAAGAGTTCTTACTTATAAAATGTAGGGACACATTTTCAACTTTCTGAACAATATTGTCAGTTTCCCTTGAACTGCTTCCAGTGGCACCACAACTATTTTAACTACCTTTAAGAGGTATCCATTCTCTTATCTTCCAAGATATGCTCCAATATTTTTGACCATGGCCATTTTATGGAAAAATTGTGGAAGAGTTTTAAAGCCTTTCCATGAACAGAGCTTGGCATGAAGCAGACTACCCTTAGTCTAAAACCAAAATCTGCTTTGATTTGCCCTCTGTTATTAACTGGGTGTGTCCCTTTGGGGAAATCGCAAAATGTCTCTATTTCATTGATCTGATCTATAAAATAAAAATGTTTCTAAATGGATCTTTTTTGAGATCCATAAAATCTATATTATGCGTAGAGTTTTTTTTTTTAGGAGCTGAATATACTTTGTTGATGTGCCTGAATACACTGTACTTTTTAAAAAAATCTAATACCTACATCTTAATATGAAAGAAGAGATGTGCACTCACTTTCTTTTTTCACCTTGAGTTCTATATGACTGTAAGCCAGTCAGTATCCATCACAACCAACTAGTTCAGTTTATATCTCAATCCTCAGTCAGTCAGTTCAGTCTCTCAGTCGTGTCCGACTCTTTGTGACCCCATGGACTGCAGCACACCAGGCTTTCCTGTCCATCACCAACTCATGGAGCTTTCTCAAACTCATGGCCATCGAGTCAGTGATGCCATCCAACCCTCTCATCCTGTGTTGCCCCATTCTTCTCTTGCCTTCAATCTTTCCCAGCATCAGGGTCTTTTCCAATGAGTCAGTTCTTCACATCAGGTGGACAAAGTATTGGAGCTTCAACTTTAGCATCAGTCTTTTCAATGAATATTTAGGACTGTTTATTGTTACCTCTATTGAAAATTGTTACAGGCATACCTCCTTTTATTGTGCTTCACTTGAATGCAATTTGAAGATACTGCACTTTTTCTTTTTTTTTTTTACAAATTGAAAGTTTATGGCAACCCTGTGCCAAGCAAGTCTATTGGCTCCTTTTTTCCAGTAGCATTTACTCACTACATGTTTTTCTGCCACATTTTGGTAATTCTCACAATATTGCAAATTTGTTGATTTTGATTATATTTGTTATGGTGATCTGTGATTTTTTTTTCCCTGGCCCACCACGTGGCTTGCAGGATCTTAGTTCCCTGACCAAGGATCAAACCCCAGCCCACTGGACCACCAGGGAACTCCTTGTGATCAGTGATCTTTGATGTTACGGTTGCAAAAAGATTATGACTCTCTGAACATTCAGATGATAGTTAGCATTTTTTAGTGTTAAAGTATTTTTATTAAAGTATAGTTAATGTACAATGTTACATCAGTTACAGGTGAGCAATATACTGATTTGTCATTTTCAAAGGTTATAGTTATTATAAAATATTGGTTATTGTACAATATATCCTTGAGCTATAAAGTATTTTTCAATTAGGGTATGTATATTGTTCTTTAGACATAATGCTATTGCACACTTAATAGACCATATTACAGTTTAAACATAACTTTTACTTACACTGGTAAATCAAAAATTTGTATGACTTGCTTTATTGCAATATTCACTTTATTTCAGTGGTCTGAAACCCTAACCCAAAATATCTCCAAGGTATGCCTGTATTTACATGGACATTTGTCATAAGTCATTTATTTTTTTTAAGGTGATTATGTTTCCACAATTAGCAGCAAAACCTTTTCATTTAAAAGCTCTTAAAAGCTCTAACTCAAGCTTTTAAAATTTCTCAACACCATATAAACTGAACCTGTTCTCTAGGGTAAATCAGAGGTGATTTTAAGCTTGCTTCATTATAAGACTTGAAAGAAAATAACCATTAATCCTAAAGAGATTCACATTAGCATCTCAGAGAATAAATCACCCAGCATCTTGCTAGCCTTCAACCAATTTACAGCTTTTCTATCTCATGCCTTCCATTTCACATCGCAGCTCAGTAGAGAATGACATGACTTTCTCCATCACTACCCAAAATTCTGGTTTTCAAATCATTACTGAAGTTCAGCAGAGAGCCCTGCTGAGTTTATGTCGTGTTAACTTAGAGGAACCACATACAAGAAATCCAAAGTGAGCCAACATATTTGCGAAGTCCTTGAGTGTCTACATACTGGTTCTTCAGGATGGCAGTAAAAATTATGTTTTTGAGAAGTTAGCTTAGTTTCCTGTCATTTGTTCTTCTGTTAACTGAGTGGAAACTACCCTGTATGATTTTTAGGTCTCACAGATATAGTTATTTAACAAAGTCATTTAAGCCCCATCTGTTCAATAGTTCAGTTTCCAATAATAATATTCTTTGATTTATGCAATTCATTATAAAACATGTTGTTATCCTTAAATTTAAAAAAAAAGACAAACTAGTTTTGCATTTAGGTGGAAAATGAAGCATATATGGCACAGATTGGAAAACTTCTGAGAGTTCAAATTTTAAACTACCCCCCTTTCTAAGCTTTTCGGGATTCACTTTCTAGTTTAAAAAAAAAAAGAAAGAATTTTTAGTTGGAAGGCTATGGCAAGGAAATTATTTCTGCTCAGTAATTTTCTAATAGCCTTTAAAAAATGACTCATCTATATACAGGAGCTGAGAAGTAGCTTTCCCATAACCATAAATTAAACTCTTGCTCCAGGTGAATCCTTTAAGTATAAAATAAGTGGTATCTTATGTTACATATATATGATGGTATAAAAATCTGGACCTTGATTTTTTTATAACCTTGCCCCCAGTTTGTGGCCATTTTGCCTTTTACCTTAAAAGCGCTGGGTTGTTTTTTCCTACCCTGTTCTCTCTGAAGCTGTAATGACTATGACTGATTTTACCATAGAATACAAACTTGAACCATCTCTACATGTCCATAAATACATTGTTTCTAAGAAATGATGACACTATATCACTAAAAACTCAAGTGTCTGAAGTGAGATAGATGGATAATGTTAAAATTATTTTTTACAACACAATAAAAATAGCACCTTGAATTAGATCATGGAATGGAGTAACGGTTGGTGATGGACAGGGAAGCCTGGCGTGCTGCAGTCCATGGGGTCACAAAGAGTCGGACACAACTGAGCCACTTAACTGAACTGAACTGATGGAGTAGTGGAAGACAAAGGGATGGATATTCTGACTGATATTCACAAGTTCACATGTAATTGGACAGTGTTTTTTTCTAGGACCAGAGCTCCTAATAGAAAATGTTCTCCCCTCTAAAATCCCGTAAAAGTGGCACAGGGCTTCGGGGGCAGCTAAGCCCTAGCATCACTAATACTGTACATGCTCCGCAACAAGAGAAGCCTCCGCAGTGAGAAGCCTCAACTAGCAAGTAGCCTCTGGTTGCTGCAACTAGAGAGAGCCTGTGCACCACAATGGAGACCATGCTCAGTCAAAAATAAAGAATTCTTAAGAAAAAAAGCTTTTTTAAATCATCAAAAAAGAAAAGAAGAAAAGGCCTTACAGAAGTTTTTGTATAACACTTAGACTAGAAAATCTTAATGCAAAAACATTTTGTGGATTAGGAATTGGCTGTTTTAGAGATTCACACTTTGAGAGAACATATTTTGACCCAGTAGTCAAGCCCTTTGCTTTCAGAAACAAGGTGAATCCCATGTCAGTTCCTATCTTAGTCATGTCACAAACACACACACACACACTTAAGCTAATTATAATGCAACAAACAAGATACAATCTAAAAGACAAAAGCATGACTTATACAGTTAGATATTTCATTTTCTCTAATCAAGGTGCCCTAGAAATAGAGCTTTTATGAATAGCAAAGTTTCTTAGCTCACAGTTATGCTGACAAACCACAGGTGCATACTATTTTACTTCATAATTTAAGTCAAGTGAATTAAAATTTTGACATTTTCTTTCTCCTTTATCCACAGGGTTTTAAATAAAATTCTAAAAATAATTTGTAAAAAGAACCTTTACAATCTATGATATTCGTTCAAAAATAGGATATGTTCTCAGTTTCTTGTCAGTTCTTACCAAAACATAATCCAAAAGTTGCTTATTTCGGAAATGTATTACTGTACTTTGGCACACAATTAGGTAACTGTCTTTATCAATACATTTTCCCAACAGAGGATTACCACGTTAACAGTCACGGTAACTCCTATTGCATGATTTCTGTGGTTTGTGACTTTGTATTCAATGTTGATGCATGCCGGTCATAATGGTACTAATGTAGCCACTGTTTTTATCTGATAGTTAATATGTTTTCTTATGTCAATAACCTCTTACAACATTTGCCCCAGTTGAATCACTTTGTCTGCTTAGTTAAAAAAAAGTCAAGAAAAAATTTATTGCTATTTTTCTTAAAAGTCTTTGGCCTTATCTCAATAATACAGCTTTGTTCTTTAGTGTTTGGAAAATTAAAGCATTTGTGGCGGGTGGGAGAAGTGTTTCTGGAAACAGAGGAAACATTAGGATGTTAATTCAACCCTGAAAGATGAATGTGGAACAGGGCAGCAATGATTTTATATTGTTTTACAAATCAGCTTGAGAGCATTATTTTAACCCAAATATGGTGGGTTTTGTGGGGGTTTTTTTGCATATATGTAGGTAGTTTTTATAATTCTCTAACCAGTGAAATGTTTCCTCTTTTCAAATCAATACTGGAGGATATGTGATTATGATAGAAATTAGGGAAGTGTATCATGTGCTTATTATTTAAAGCATACATTTTAATACAGATAGTTGCTATCTTTTAAAACTTTGTCTTTTCTGGATTTAGGGTCCCCCTGGACCACCTGGACCTCAAGGACTGCAAGGGCCAAAGGTTATTCTTTGTTTTATTTGTTTCCATTTACTACATATGGTGCAGAGAATCCATATTAAATATATGTGTCTTTGAAAATCAGTCTTATGAAATACTGGAGGAGCTGACATCAGCAATATTGCTTAAGAGAGCTGAAAATAGAAACTGAGTTCTGGACTGAGGGAAGAGGAATCAGAAAAAAATAAAAAATTAGGAAAGACGTGAAATAAATAGAAATGGCATTAAATTTAGAAGGAGAACACTCAGAAAAACAGAGTATTAAGCAAAAGAGAAATAAGTTTTACAGAAATGGTAAGTGTAGAGAAATACCTAATGTGGTATATGGAAAAAAGGCAAATGTTTAAATAGAGAAGGATTGAAGGAAGATTTGCTCTGACATTAAAAAAGATCTTTATCTTCAATTCTTTTGTAATAAAAAGAACAAGAAAAGCTTCAGCATGACACATTCACAAATGATAATTTTAGAAACCATTTTCAGTCATGTTTACAACACTGTATACTGTATATATATTCAATTGTTCTGCCATCTAAACTTCATCTAATAAAACATACCAACTATAAACAGAAGGAACAAAATTACTTGATTATATCAAAAATTTGTTAATAGCATTAGCTTTTCCTCTCCAAACTAAAGCTTATTCAACCATGCTCAATCAGTTAACACATGGCCAGCAATTCTGTCTTTTCAGGACTGAACTACATATGTTGAAATATGACTTTGTCATTGGGTTTTTTGTAGGTGATTCAAGTGGTGTCAAAATCCATCTTTTGTTTGTGCCTCTTAAGGCAGTTTATTTGCAAAATCTATCACACACACACAAATGCACACATCAGTTTTTGTACTTTTCTCTTTCAAGATACTTAAAAACAGAAAGCTAGCACATAGAAACAATTATTTTTCTATTAGAAAAAGGAACATGGAGTAAAATATTACTAAGATCCTTGCCTATGTGGGATATATTTAGAACATAGACTCTAATTTCAAACAGATTTCATGTATAACATTAATGTAAGTTTGGGGATTTTTTACTTTTTATTTCTCCACCACATTCTGGTCCCTAAGAGATATAACACAAAAAAATGACCCAATAATATACAGCCTATGTTCCTGGTAAACAAGTTTGCCTGGATCCCTATTCTTTATTTTTTTTCTAGATTTGAACATTTAACATAATTCACTAAATTTACACACACAAAAAATTAAACTTTCTGGTTTAAATTACATAATTTATTTAAAATATTAATAGTATAGATTGTAATTTTTGTAATATAGATTATTTCAGTTATTTTAGAGACAAGAAAGATTTTTTAAAGAAATAGAACTTAAATAGTATGTGCATCTAGAGGTTCCTTAAAGAGATGATGACAATCATGACATACAGAGTAGTTTGTGTCATTAAATTAAAATAGTCTATCTCTTCTTTGATAAAATAAATTAATGAACTGTAGTCCCATTGCAGTATTTGATGTGCTATGCAAAAGTCGTTGGATCCCTGTTCTTTAATATCTTGGTGAGCTAGACTAGAAAATCTAAAAGAAAATCTGCAGATTCCTTTTTTCTCTTTGTAGAGTCAACCAAGGTCTGAGTTTTTGCTTTATCCCCTCACTTGACTAAGTCTCCAGAAGCAAAAGTGTCCTCAATGCTAAATGTGTGCCTTATTCTGTACAAACTTCAAAAAACTTGAGACTTGACTCTTCTTTATAGCTGAGGCCTGCTGAAGCCCAAAAGGACTTGACCCAAAAGAGGCAAGAAGGACTACCTAGTCAAGAAATCTATGTTGTTAAAATGTACATCCCCTGTGCTTTATAATTCAACTATTGATTTATTAATCATATCAATCAATAATTAATTGGTGGACCTCTATTCCATGATAAGTACTAATACCTAGTAAAGATAGGAGGATATGATAAGGGGTTTCAACAAGGAGCTCTCAGTTCAAAGATGGAGAAAGGAAAGTAAAGGCACAGTTATTAGTAAATAGAGTAAGTGCCTGGGGTAAGAAGCATATAGGAAGTGTGCTCTCTGCCTTGGGGTCAAGAATGACTTTGAACTGAAAGTGAAAGGCAACAGAAATTGTCAAATGAATGTCTAGACAAGTGGGGTGGGGATGGGGTTAGTCATCCGCCTTTACCTCTTACCTGCTACCCTTCCCACCTTGCTGGCACTCTGGCCCACCTCATAGACCTGACAATGATCTTGTAATTGGGATCCTGGGTTAGCTGATACAGTCTTTGATGCTTTCCATGAGTTCCCCTTGAGAAAGCTGGGATAATTGGAGTGAGATGTGCCTATGACCTGGAGTCAGCAAATGCAGTGTGAGTCAAATATAAAACTCATTCCAGCTCAGGACTCAGAGCCTCAGACTGAATGTGAACCAAGTCAATTAGTATTTCTCCTTTCTTTATCAAACAAGGGCTGTTTGACTTCTTATATATCAAATGTGCAAGCTAAGTTGCTTCAGTAGTGTCTGACTCTCTGCAACCCTGTGGACTGTGGCCCGCCTGGTTCCTCTGTTCATGGGATTCTCCAGGCAAGAATACTGGAGTGGGTTGCCATGCCCACCTCCAGGGGATCTTCCCAACCCAGGGATCGAACCCCCATCTCTATGTCTCCTGCATTGGCAGGTGGGTTCTTTACCACTAGCGCCACCTGGGAAGACCTATACATCAAATTACTTTACAAACTACATTTGGTGGGTGAAGGATAAATAATTCATGAATTGTATTTTTCTTTTAAACATTTGTGAGTCACATTTTGAAAGGAAAAGCGTAGCAACCATTATCCAACCCAGAGTGCTGACAGATATTCAGATTGCATGAAACTAGGGCTTAACCAGTTGCATCCAACCTCAGCAGACTTGACTGTGGCAGAATAAACTTTGCCACTGCCACAAAGAGCAGGGAATCTAGAATTTAAAGGAAAAAAAAAAAGTTTTTTTCTTTTTTCATTTGTTTGTCATGCCTTCCTTTAACATTTGGAAGGATCAAATTTCACACTATGGCCAAACAGCTCTTAAAGTTTTTACCAGGGAAAGAAGCTCTAACCATTTCAATATTGTGGTTTATAACATCACCAAACAAGCCTTTCTAGAAAAACAGCCTCAAGTCAACTCCCTTGGAAATCTGTCTGTGAGGCAAGCCATTCACTCACTCCAAAGAACTGGTTTTACAAAGTTTCCATGGTGTGGAAATCAGAGATATTTATAATGAGATCCACCTAAATGACCCATTGATATAATATCTTGTATTTTCAAAGAATTTGGTTATTCAGTATGTTTCTGATTGAAAGGTGACTGGACATTTGTTGTTTGAGTAAATCTCTAGCACATTGTTTAAATTTGTTTTTAATGGAACATCTTCAGTTAAGAAAAATAAATTCATATATCTGAGGTTTGTCAAGGGTTCTAATAAATCATACTATGAATAGTAACTTTAGTTCATTCCTAGCATAGTATAGGAAATTGAATTGATCCCAAAGTAATTTTATTCAGATTAAGATATTATCTGATTTATTATGTCCTTCAATGAGGCTTATCTGGAAATAGCACATTCACAATCATTATGAATTTGTATTCACTGTTCAAACAATGCCAGGTAAAATATTATAAATGTATGTGCCCTTGCATGTTATTTTTTCTTAAGTTAACTGCTATGTTTTTGCTCTTTTCTCAAATTTGAAAATAAGAGACATTATACAGATTGTTTAAGGAGAAAAAAATTAACTAATTGAGGCATATAGGTTGTCACTATAGGATATGCTCTGCCATCAAATGATAGCAATTTTTTTAGCCTGAATCTCACATGAGGGTATAAAATTTTTTTTTAAATGCTGGATCTTAATTAGCTATGGATAAATATTAATATACTTAATAGTAAAAAAATGTTATTTCACTTTGTGTAATGATGTGGTATGATGTAATAACATATTCAAGTTAGGATGCATTTGCTGAAAGGTAAATTGTACTGTTACCAACTAGCATCATTTCTTTGCATCATTTTTAGTGTAGTATGCTACCAATAATAAATAAGAAGCTAGCCATTAATTTTTATCTTAACAGGGAGAGCCAGGATCCCCGGGAGTCCCAGGAGTTGATGGAGAGCAGGTAATTTTCCAAGCTATATACTGTCATTTAAAGCATCATTATTAATTACCTTTTATTATAGGTTTGAAGACACTGTTGATATATAATATTCTCTTTTTTTTTTACCTTCTGTTCTAGAGACTACATTAGCTTTAAAAAGCAATTAGTTTTAAAGTAGACATTGCTTTTCTTTGTAGAGACATACCGGTTATAGGATACCTTAGATTTGTCTTAATAACTCTGATCAATCTACCAATGACATATCCATGAATTTTTATTAGACTTGTAAGATCATTACCAATTTAGTAAGAATTATCTAATTCTTATCAGTGAATACAAATTAAGATTTAAATCTGTGACCATAGTTTCTACAAAACTAGATATTGCTTACACATGTTATTTCGATATTGTTTTATTTTCCCAAATAAAGATTACAGCTAATTTTCTAGATCATTAGAAAAGACAGAAACAAGCAGGACACTTATAGCTTTGTAGAATATGAACAGTATCTCTGAGGGTTTCCCCCTAACACAGAGATTGGCAAACATTCTCTGTGAAGGACTAGAGAGCAAATGTTTTAGGCTTTACAGACCATATACATTCTCTATCAAATTTTTAAAATTTATTTTAAACATCCGGCCTGTACAAAAACAATTCCTGAGCTGAATTTGGCCCTGCGCCATGGTTTGCTCACCCCTGAAAGAAATGAATCTGACCAGGCGAATGTAGACAATATCCAATATTCAGAGAGTCTAATCACAAGAATTAGTTTCAAGATATCTGATGTTTCCTGGGCTTCCATAATTTACCCAAGAAATGACTAAAATCAAGATCATAAGAAACCAAGGACATTATTTATACAGCTTGTGGAATAAACTCCTCAGAAGTTTGTATTAGATCAGTAAATTAAGAGAAGAGTTATTTTAATATCGGAGTTGTATATTGAAATCATATAATGTCACACTAAGTTAACATGTGGTAGCTAAAAAAAGACTTTAGATGATCTGCTGTATCCATCAGAGATCACATTAGCATTTAAAAACCCAGTGGTTTTTCCCCAGTTAATCATTATAAATAATTTGATATACATTATAACACACTACATAGACATCCCTACACATACAATAGCTGAATTTTTTTCTATAGGCTTTACAAAATCTTTTATACTAGGTCCATTGGGTTGGCTATCCTGCTGCTATTACTAGATTCCTAAAACCAACCAGGATCTGATTAGCTTTGAGATCCATCTATCTATTTAGGTACCCACCCATCCTCCTAATAGATGACTCTGAAGTAGGTGCTATGAAATAGATGTAAGTAACAAGAAAAGAACCTTCCTGTCCTTAAGTAGTTTTTAGTACAGGAAAGTTGAACAGGTTACTGCAACCCGGAAGCACTATAATCATAACTAAAATAGCTATGATCATCTCTACTGAAGAGTGGGCCATCTGGTCATAGTGTGGTAAGCCTCCTTGGGTGAAAATGCTTAATGATGTACATTAATTTCAGTATTAGTATTGCAAAATTCCTATGTTTGCCTTCAGAATCCACATATATCTATTTCCTTACTGTAAAACAAGAATAAAAATCACATCCTGGATGACCTCATAGAGATGTCATGAGAACAAAATGAGAATACAAAGTGGCAGTATTTCTAAGCATTAATTGAACATGAGTGTGTAATGAATGACCTCCCAGTCTGTAGACTTAACCATTGAAAATTGGTGACAGGAACTTCTGCCTACACTTAAGAAAGGGTAGGGAATGTATAATGAATGGAGATGGGAGAAATTTATTTGTACCTTTGTTACTATAACACTAGGTCCTGGTTCAAAATGTGTACTGTTCTGTTATGCATTAAATCCATTAAGTTGTTTTCAGAACTGATGACATAGAATTAGCTACCAGGTAAAAATGTGGAATCAGAAGAAGTGACATCAACACTTACGCTTATGCTTTTCATACTTAAATGGCCTAAGTAATAGAATTTAATCTCTTCCATTACAAGTGGAGATTATAGTGATTAATGTAGAAGGTTGCTATAAGAGATAACTCTACCTAAAAATGAAAATCATAGTCATCTCAGCATAGGATCCATTTGTTGACAAAATTGATCTGGAATTCTGTTTTCCCTGCTATGTCACCATCAATGGTCAGTATGATTCTTAAGTGCAAATCATGTCATTTGTAGGGACTCAAAGGCTCAAAGGGAGACATGGGGGACCCAGGTATGCCAGGTGAAAAAGGAGGAATTGGACTTCCTGGACTACCGGTATGTTTATACTTTTAAAGATGTTCATATTGAGATATATTAAATAATCAGAAAATAGTTGTATTATTAGCTGCAGTCTCATCCAATGATTTATATAATGCTTTTATTTTTAAATATTTGAAGTATTTTTGGTTAATAACTACAACTAAGGCACTGGAAGAAGTTTTAAAGCATCTAACCAAATGAATTACAAAATAAACCTTTATGTTTTCTTGAATTATTTTCACTAGAAGATAGTAAAATAGTGTTGGTCATTAACATAAGGTGTAACTGATCATTTTTAAATAAATCATAATTTTAAAACCAAAAAATACAGAATAATTAAAAACAAATTACAATTGAAAGTATTCTCTTTATGTGTGTAGTATTATGGGGATGTTTTTATGGCTTTCCCCATAATTTTTACTGAGAATTTGGAGAGGTAAATTTAGAAAAATATAGGAAAAAAATATAGAAAACCTCACTGCCCTAGATCATTTTTTTAAAACAAGGAAATGCATAAATGTCAGTTAAAACTAAAAGACTACTATTTAAAGTCAGCACCACCATTAAAATATAATAGTTATAATAGGACATATTTAGCAATGTATAATATAACCCATCAAGCATAACTTAGTTTTTATTTACCTTATAGTTTATTTCACAAATCATCCACAATCCTAGCTAATCCTTTGCTACTTAGCTTGAAACTAAAATGCAAGAAGATAAATCCTTGTCTTATATATCATGTGCATGATATTATAAAAATTTCAAGAGGATGATGGATTTGGGGAGAAAATTCAGCCGTTCCTTATACTTTGCAAGTAACTTGACCAGCTCCACTCTTAATGGTTATTTGTAGGGTGCCAATGGAATGAAAGGAGAAAAAGGAGACTCAGGATTGCCAGGTCCACAGGGCCCTTCCGTAAGTCCGTGGTGGTTCAACGTTCATGGTTCCCAAAAAACCCTGAAATGGGCCAATTATTCACCAACTTCAGCCCATGCCAGATGGCTTATCAACAGTAGAAAGACGATGATCCTCTTGGTCTGTCAAACTATAGAAGAAATATCTGTCAGCCTTGTACAGGAAGAGACAAAAGTGTCTCAGAGGTCTGAGTTAGAAGCAATTTTTCAGAGGACTGTCTAATCCTGAGGAGAAAATCAATGGTTTTCCCACGATGCTTGTGGGTCTAGCTCTGTGAATGTAGAACCTATGTTTTTTCTTGTTTTTTTTCTCCAGAGCCCCTGTTGTTGCTTAGTGAAATATTTGAGAGTTTGATCGTGGTTGTAGCATTATAGCATTTCTTGCTAATCAGTTGCTTCCTTTTCTTTTAATGTGCTTTTGATTTATTCTGGCTTTTGTAGAACAACTATTTTTTTTTTAGGGTTTTTTTTTTCTCTCACAAATGAATTTCCAAATGTAGAGAATCAAGCACATTACTTCTTCCAGTATCCCTCGTCTGCAACCATTAATGGCCTTAGCAGAACCCTAGCTTGAGACTCAAGCCTAACTGCCTTATCTAAATGAAGTGACCAAATCCATGTTTATTTTCCTGACATGCAGGTCATAGGCCCACCAGGCCCACCAGGTCCCCATGGCCCACCAGGCCCCATGGTAAGTTTCCCTTCTCTCCAAAATGGAATCATTTGTTTAAGAGCATACCTCCAGAGAAAACATGAACTCATCCCTCAAAGCAGCCAGCTTGTATCTGGTGCTTCCCAGGCAGAAAATAGGAGGTGCTTTTCTGATTTTACAGCGTTGTCTTTCACTCTCCCAAACATATATGTTGGAAAGCAATAGGGTAGTTTTGTGATAGGAGATTTGAAGAAATGGGTTCGGCAAGTTTACTGTACCCCTCTGGTGACTAACACCATAAAGAATCTGCAATGTGGGAGACCCCCATTCGATCCTTGGATCAGGAGATCCCCTGGAGAAGGGATCTCCAGTATTCTTGCCTAGAGAATTACATGGACAGAGGATCCTGGCAGCTATAGTCTGTAGGGTCGCAAAGAGTTGGACATGACGGACCAACTACCACTTCACTTTCACATAGTATGAACACTGAAAAATCATTTTAACCAGTCACTGTTCTAGGCCTTTAATACAAGAAGATTAATAATTGTAGCTATTAATGAATGTTTTTTAACAAACTTCAGTGGGAGAGAGGGGTCTGAGCCCTGCGTGACTTTCGAGATTTTCATTCTCTGACCAAGAACTCAACCTGGGTCCTCAGTAGTGAGAGCTCAGAGTCCCAACCACTGGACCACCAGGGAATTCCATGTTTCTAACCAACTTTGAGGGTTGTGACACTTTAATGAAACATCCATTAAGAACGTTTATAAAACAATATGATAACAGAATTCACTTGTACACATGACATGGTAATATATTGTTGGATCTTTTTCTTTTCCCTTTTACATACTTTGGCAAATACAGTGTTCACTGCAGACATCTTTCAGTGACCAGTGGAGAAATGACTATGTCCTCGTAGAATTCATGTTCGGTGAAGAAGGTAGTCGTTAAACCAGCATAATTCTCCAAATGTCTACCTAATGACCACTGTATGAAGGCTGGAACTAGAAGGCAGAGTGCTTCAAGTGCTTTTGACTGGGACAGGTTGGGGAGCAAGTCAGGCAGCCTCTTAGGTCACATTCGTCTCAAAGGTGTCTCAATAAACCATATGTCTTCGATCCCAGAGATTAAACAGTAGGTCAGTCACTCTTGCCTCCAGTTGTGCTCCAAGAAAGAGCTTCATTGGAATGGTCTAAACCACAGAGCATAGCACCAGATCCCACTCATCTACTGGGTTTCTATTTCATACCACAGAACAGTATTTTTTAAATACTGTTTTTAACCATATTTTTTAAAAACGAAATATTTCCTTAAGAATCAAGAAAATGGCATACTTTTGGCTTTTCTGTACTCCCACCCCTTTGTTAGAAAATTAAATTTAAAATGCTATATCCATTCATATTACAAAATTAATTAGTTTAAAGGAATTTAAAACCACTTCTAAAATGAAATAATACTTGATAAAATGACCACTTCCTGAAAATGTTTATCCACAACTTATTCAAAGGGAAAATGTTATTCCAAAGTAGACATGTATAACAAATCTATCTATTGCTTGATTTAAAAAAAAACAAAAACTTTTTCCTCTTGTGTGATTTTGCTGACAAGTATTTAAATACTCCTATCTCCAAATTGTTCATTTAAATGACTAGAAATTTAATGCAATCCATAGTAACCTTTATTTAGTTAATTTAGCTTAGCTAATTAGTCTCTATATTTAGATTTTCCACACAATACATGGGAAAAGCCCTGACTCATGGATATGTTATGACTTCCATTGGTAAACAGTTACTACATTTGAGCCTTGAATAATTCATCTCTGTAAAAATAAATGCATTCTAAATAATAATGTTTAGCACTCCTCTCCTGGAATCCTTTTCTTAGCCTTAAATTAAAGAAATGATCCAACAGGGTTCCAAACTTGACTGTCGTCTCCTCACTTTCTTCCTCCTCTAGATTTTTCAAAAGCTTGGGGTTAGAGGAGTTAATAACTGAAAGATCTCCTCTACTGGTACTTAGAGTTCCAAATGTATTTTTAGCAAATTTCTGTCTTTTAAGGTTGACCTCTACTTCATATAAATTCATAATGTAGCTCACATAGTCCACCTAGATTTTTTTTTTAATGGGAATTTGAGAAATATAAGTAGTACGGGTTCACAAACACTTTTTTCTGTGTTGTTTTTTTTTTTTTCCCTCCCTTGTAACCCTGGCAGATTCCCCTCTCCCTGTCAGAGATGCTCAGCAGAAAGAATTGCTATTAATGAATTTCCTATTACAGAGCCATCCAAGAGCTGGAAGGAACTTTCACTGAGTGTTAATACCCACTGGCCTGCCTCTAGCTGTAGATCAAACAAGATTCTTGTTTTACATCTCTTTTGTTACTACATATAATAGTCACTTCTGCTGAGAAACAGTGATTCAATTCTTAATTAAAAAGCTGTGTTTTCCATTTTCAGGGACCCCATGGACTTCCTGGACCAAAGGTAATCCAACAAATCCCTTGTTTGTTTGATTTCTATTTCATTGTTAATCACGGAGAAGCATGACGGATGCATGCCTGTCCTGTCTTATTTATTTGTCAAGTAATGTTGATAATCTTTAAGCCTTTAAGTATCCAGATGTTTAAATTTCACGAGGAAAGACTTACCACAAATTTAAGTGATATCACCTGGAGATTAATTAGTCCTCACTTTGCCTTTTTCCTTGTCACTATGTCAATTTCTTAAGTTACTAATCACAATATTATACTCAAAAGCAACATTCCAAAAGAAAAAAAAAGTGAATCTGATGAGTTTCTGAGACTAGTCCAGATGCTCTTTCCTAGTATAATGTCTCTAGTTATATATTCAGATGTTATTGGTTGATACATCTTGTTTTTCATATAGCAGTACTGCATCTAAATGCTTTGATTGTCCAGCATCTTACTTTTGTATTTCCCTGTAGGTCACTAGTGTAGAATGAGGTAGAATGTGCTATACTGAGAAGAAGATTACATCACATACATGTATTCCACATTTGAACTAACAAGAGGACAATGGAGGATAGCCCTTCCTTGTCAGAATTAGTGCAGTTCAAATTGTGAAGATGGATGAAGATGTGTTCTTTGCCTTTGTGTAGACCAAGAAGACACCTTGGAGGATTAATATGAGACAGACTCCTTCCTGCGAGTGTCTGTGATAAGGACCCATGTTCTAATCTCAGCTTTGTCACTGACAGGGCATGTGTCCCTTGGGCAGATTATTTCCCCTCTCTAATCCTTCCTTTACTCGAGGAGTTAACTTGCCTCAGGGTGTTGTGATGATTGGATGAGGTAAGATTATAGAACACTTAGCAGAAGGTCTGGTGCAGCTGTTGATAAACACCCACTAAATGTCAGCTGTTCTGGCAATCTTCTGTTTTGATGCTTTGTTCTGAACAGAAAAATTTAGCTAGTCCTCAAGGCTGCTTGGGGGCTTTGCTGGTGGCTCAGACAGTACAGAATCCACCTGCAATGCAGGAGACCTGGGTTCAATCCCTGGGTCGGGAAGATCCCCTGGAGAAGAGAATGGCAACCCACTCCAGTATTCTTGCCTGGAGAAGCCTGTGGACAGAGGAGCCTGGCGGGCTATAGTCCATTAGGGCCACCAAGAGTTGGACATGACTGAAGCGATTTAGCATACATGCAGGCATGCAAGGCTGCTTGAGAGAAGATTCACAACTCTTGACAGCTCCTCAGTAGTGTTAATGCATTTAGTGGAGATGGGTTGGGGGAACACATAAATGCAACATTGGTACTAAGAGTCGAAAAGCCCATAGGCCTCCCACTCTCTCTTCTGAGAACTCCCTCTGGCCCACCCAGCTTTGGGGGCGGTACAGTGATTGGTCTGACTCCAGAAACCTGAGTTCCCTTTTCAAGGTAAAGCAGGTGACTCAGCCAAGAAAGGGAAAAGTTCATGCCTCTTTATTCTTCTTAGAATACTTTCCCTTCTGGTAAGGCCAATGAGTGACAGTGTCTCAGTGGCATGAATTATAGTTTAAGATAAGGGCGCTGTTGTAGGGGTCAAAAGAGAGAGCTTATCTATCAGCTTTGTGGTCTTAATATTATCTAACTTCCTTGGACCTCTCTTCCCACACTGGACTAAATACTATTTCCTTCTCTTGGCTTCTCTTTGGATTTTAAGGTACTGCTAAGGACCAGATTAATTGTAATGACTCAGGCTAAAGCCACCAAGATCATTTTTAATTCTATGAGTGATTCAGTTACCCCATCACCATTAAATTAATAGATGCCCAAGATCCTTTTTATATTTACAATGCAGTGATTTACTTTGCTTACACTTAACTTCAATTGTTACTTAAATCATAGATTTCAGAGAAATAAAAAGTTGAAAGCCCCACATAGATTACCTGTGCTAACCCCTTGATTTTGTAAATATTAAACTATAGGCTCAGGAGATTTAGGTTATTTTCCCTAAATTACAGTAAGTATATGAAAGATCTGGGACCATAATTTAGGTTCAGAGTTGAAATTTGAAATTTTTGCCCCCAAATTGGGAAAGGAGTATGACAAGCCTGTATGTTACTTAACTTACATGCAGAGTATATTATGCAAAATGCCAGGTTAGATAAATCACAAGCTGGAATCAAGATTGCCAGGAGAAATATCAAGAACCTCAGATATGCAGATGATACAATTCTAATGGCAGAAAGTGAAGAGGAACTAAAGAGCCTCTTGATGAGGGTGAAATAGGAGAGTGAAAAAGCTGGCTTGAAACTCACCATTCAGAAAACTAAAATCATGACATCCGGTCTCATCACTTCATGGCAAATAGAAGTGGAAAAAGTGGAAGCAGTGACAGATTTTATTTTCTTGGGCTCCAAAATCACTGCAGACAGTGACTACAGCCATAACATTCAAAGACTTTTGCTCCTTGGAAGGAAAGCTATGACAAACGTAGACAGTACATTAAAAAGGAGAGACATCACTGCTGACAGAAGTCCAAATAGTCAAAGATACGGTTTTCCCAGTAATCATGTACGGATGTGAGGGTCAGACCATAAAAAAGACTGAACACCAAAGAATTTATGCTTTCAAATTGTGGTGCTGGAGAAGACTCTTGAGAGTCCCTTGGACTGCTAGGAGATCAAACCAGTCAATCCAAAAGGAAATCAGCCCTGAATATTCATTGAAAGGACTGATCCTGAAGCTGAAGCTCCAATAGTTTGGCCATGTGATGCAAAGAGTTGACCCACTGGGAAAGACCCTGATGCTGGGAAAGATTGAGGGCAAGGGGAGAAAGGGTTGACAGAGGACGAGATGGTTAGATGGCATCACCGACTCAACCAACATGAATCTGAGCAAACTCTGGGGGATAGTGAAGGACAGGGAAGCCTGGCATGCTGCAGTCCATGGGGTCACATAGAGTCAAACATGACTGAGCGACTGAACAATATGCTAACTTCTCAATTAATGCTCACTGCTATCAATGAGTGATTCCTCACCAAAGAAATTCATAGCTTGCAAAGGCTGCCCTTGGCATCTCAAGATCACTTGCTAAATCAAAGTCCACACACATGCAAAGCCATGAATCTCGAGTTTAAATCAGTTAACGGAAGTTGATTGCTGAGCCTTGGCTTTAATCTCACATTGACTCTAGCTGTGTGACAGTAACAGGATCATACTTCACTAACCATAGCACGTTTGGATTTCCTATAGTGGCAGTATTGCAGACTTCATGTCTCAGAACTGCCTAAATCCACTAGATCATGCCAGTGTGTATATTATTTTGAAAGTTCAAATACAGAGCACGGTTCCATGGATGAGTCTGGCTCACTGTTCCCTAGAATTTCCTGATGAGGAGAATCACCTGGGGGATATTAACAATATCGTTCCTGTGTTGCTGTGGCCTAGGTGAGGCCCTGGACTCTTTACCAAACACTGCACTGACTTTCATCTTCAGGCAAATAGGGGAGAAATACTGCCCAGGTTAATAATCCTTCCTGCCATGCAGGCATAATCTCTCCCCTCTCCCAACCCCACCACTCAAGATTGCGTAAGGCATTTGAAAATGAAACTGTCTTTCTTCCTCAAATCTTTCAAGATCTTATTGATGAAATTAGTATCTATACTTAAAAGGTGAAAAGTGGACGAGTCACCCGTTCTATTTCTAACATGCTGCTGCTGATAGAAAATAGTGTATTGCATTTTTAGATTTTTGAAAACAAGAGTTGAGAATTTATCACTTTTCATGACTTTTATAACGTCACATTAAGTTAACTTCAAACCTCCTTTATTCTACCATTGGGCAGGTGCATGGCTAGTAAAACCAATAAAGTTCTGTGATCTTCACATTCTCTTCCAGGGTTGGCTCTTTGCTGTCTATCCTATCGATTAATCCTCACAGGGACCTGACTTGGCAATGTCCATGAATGAGGAGTCACCAAATGGCATTACTTCAAACATTGGCCGCTACATTTATCACATTCCCCTGGACAAAATGCTTAAAGGCTTAAAATATTCGTTTATAACACTGTCCTGCATATTCCAGTTTTCTATTCCAGCAGAGTGGCTCTTTCCTGCTGAACATCCTTGCACATCCTCCACTCTGACTGTTTTGATTTGCTTGGTCAGAACAATGTAGCGTAACACCAATTTCCTTGAACTAAAACCGAAAATACTGGAGCTCAGCCATATACTTTTTTGGTCATAAGGAGCACATTTTCTAAGGAGCTTTGCTTCCTAGAAAATTATTTAATTCCAGCTTGTCAACTTTTTGCATTTTCAAAATTTGTTTTGAACTGGTGCAAGACAAATCTAGCCTGACTCTGCTGTTCCCTAAAACTGGAATCTGCAACCATGTCAGAGACTGGCTCTCTTCTCTCACAGTTGAAACACCCATGATAGCAACCAAAATTGGCATTTGCTTTTGCATTTAGGGTGAACCAGGGTTAAATGGTGTTAAAGGATTGAAGGGTGAAGCAGGTCAAAAGGGTGACAGAGGACCCCTTGGTCTTCCAGTAAGTAAAGAAAACTTTCCATTTCAGTGCAAATCTCAGACTATTCTTTCTACCCTAAGTAACAACTCTGGTTTACTCGGTGACTATCACACAGTTGAGATTTCTCTAATTAGAAAACATATTGTGTTCAAGCAGAGCTCAGCCCAGTCTTATTTCCTCTGATGTCTGCTCATATGTCAGAGAAAGACCCCATAACAAACAACACCATCAGTGTTCAATTACATCCGTGCCAGCCTTCCTCTTTTACAGCTGAGAATTCTTACCCCGTCACCCTCCCCTTAAAAAAAATATTATATGGATTGTTTCGTAATTCTTCCCAAATGCCTTTAGAGTTTAGTGTAGTGTAAGATCCTCCCTCAATTTTTACTTTTTCTTCTTCAATACTAGAAAGCACAGCCCCTTGTCGGTGGCAGGTATGCAATCGGCCATTGTTGAAGGCGTGAGTTCAGTGCTGTGGCTCCTTACGTTAATCAGTCATCTCGTGGTCTAAATGTTGTGTGTCGTTTGTGTTGGAAATGCCCTCTTATGAGGTTCTTGTGGCAATTATGAACAGTATGGAAGAAGTATTTTGCAGCCATTTAGAGATTTTTATTTTGAATGGAAAGATTGCATCTTTCATGCACTTTATGCTAGCCTTCTTTCTGCAGTGACTAAAAAGATATTGTTAAATGATCATTAAATATGAGGGTTTTTTGTTTGGGGGGCCACACTGTGTGGCATATAGGATCTTAGCTTCCTGACTAGGGATTGAACTGTCCCCCCTGCAGTGGACACGCAGAGTCCTAATAATTGAACTGCCAGGGAATTCCTAAATGTGAGCTTTAGTTTCAGGCTTTTTAATATTCATCCTATTCAGTGAATGCAGATAAAGTCAGTAGAGGACATTATAGATTACATTATTAAAATATGACATAAAAATGGTAATAGAAAATATTTCATATACATATTTTATGCAGAAAAAATTGGTGACTACTTATTTTACTTTTTCCACAGGTACTGTATTCTAAGTACTAAAGTATTCCTCTTGATAGTCAATGCCTTACATAATTTCGGGCATATAGTAGATGCTTAATATGCATTCATTAATTGAATGAATGATGTAAGTCTTACATTAGAATATAGGCTAACTCACACCAATTAAATCATGCCACAAGTGTGAAATCCAAAACCTCTATAACAACTGTGAGTCAGGAATTCCCATTCCAGGTAAATATTAATATAATATATAATATATATATAATTAATATAATGTTATTTATCATCCCCCTATTTATTTTTAAATGCTATAATAGTGGTGGCTCTGAAGAAAGTATCAAAAAGGCAAAGTGAAACTTTGGATTTCTATTTTACCTAAACCCTCAATCTGATTTCTTTGAAGTTTGCCCTAATTTCAAATCTAGGATGGTGGACCATTTTTATGCAACATTTAGCCAAAAGCTCTACATCTTCTAGCTCTAAACAAACAATAACACACATATTTTTTAAAATTTTAATCATTTCTAGCTAAATTAAATTTTGCAGTTATAATCTGACTCACAATAGGATTGTACAGAAGGAATTGTAAAATAAAAAACTAAAAGTACCCCTCAAATGTATGATGTAGCATCATTGGTAGAGTTTGCAGCTGGAATAGATTTTTTCCCTTCCATTTTGTATTATTAACTACATCTGAAGCATAAAATGGGGAAACAGTTCTGCAACCTTGCCAAGAGAATTTATAGAACTAGTGCATTGTCTTTCTTAAATACTCCTTGATCAAACCAACATTTTCAAAGCCTATAAATAAACATTTGAGTTTTGAGATACAAAAGCCATATTTAAAGAGTAATTGTGCTTACTCTTGAAACAAGCATTGAAAATGTCATCTTTTGGTCATACGTTATACATAGCCTAGAGATGAAGGAAACAAAAGCATGCATTGCCTGAACACAGCATTAGATTTTTAAAGCATTTCCCACTCAGACTCTGATGCTTGATTATTTGTAGTGAGATGAGGAACAATGTTTGAGGCAGTTATTTTTTGTCTGGACTTAAGAAATTTTTCTGCCTTTTCCCATTCCTAGAAGTCCCTCTAGTGGTGACTAATGTAAACACAGTAAGAACAACGCAGAAACAATTGCTGTTTGTGTAAAATCCGAGTCACTCTGACATGTTAAAATTCTGCATTTGTTTTTCATAAATGCTATTTTAACAAGTAAAACTAGAGCTCTTTTCTTCTCTGAAATTCTAACTTGATTATTATAATGAGCCCTTACCTAAGAGACTGGCTATTATCTTTTTTCCAGAACCTAAAGAAATATATTGTGAATAGCACAGTCTTTAGAAAATTTAATTTCATATGGAAATTAGCTACCCAGACTGTTACTGGTAACTATGTCAAAGCCCACTTTATAAACCTCATTCACTTGATTTCCAAATAAGAATTTGCTGAATGGAAATGTCATTAAAATGTCATCATCGGTGGGGTGTTTATTGTCACGTGTTTTTTTTTTTTCACTAACAATTTGTAGCAATGTGATTTTCATCTCAGAACCCTGTGACTGCGTATTATGTTGTTTGAAGTGTTACATTTGTTCATCAGTACCTCATACTAATCTCTGTTCTTGTCATTTGTGTCACACCCACCAACCCTGCTACACACAGGGAGCATCTGGCTTAGACGGAAAGCCAGGAGCCCGGGTGAGTCAACACCTCAACTTGCTCCAACATGCTTTGTGGCTGTGAATGTTATGCTTTAGGACAGACTCCCATCACATGATGAGGAGTCCACGGGACTGGAGCGGAAGGAGAAGGTGGACAAAGAGAGTGGCAAAGAAAGGGAGAAACAGAGAGGGCATAGGATACACAGCCTACACTCCAGAACATCTTCTGATGCCTGGGTTCAGGTCCGGATAACTTGCAACACGGGAAGAATGATCAGTCTGATTGACTTCATTGTCTTACAATCCCAGACAGATTTTTTTCATAACCAATGAACACATCCTGCAATTCCATGTGAGAGGTCCTTAGAAGGGGTCAAAATCACGTGAAATCATTTTAACTTGCTTTCCTCTTTTATGTTCAAGTCTGTATTAGAAATGTAACTTCTTCCTTGAAACTAACTTTCAGATCTCTGTTCATCAAAATGATTCATCTGTCTTCTGTCATTTTGTCTCTTTTCTATGGTTCTTCAGAGCTCCCTCTCTTAAAGTTCAGCTTCAGGTCTTCAATATTTAGAAGTTTTCTGAAGATGAGCTTGGAGTTCAGGCAGTAAGAAAGAGATCAAACTTGATGATAATCCAGCAACACTAGAATGAGTTTAAAACCCTGAATTATTTCATGTCACAAGTCTCTAATATTATAAACAAGAAGAGTAAAAGAGAAATAAGAATACTGTTTTAAAAATTGTGCTGGAATAGTTCCTATGTTTGTAAATGCCATAGCAAATTCATTGCAAATCTAAGCATATAGTCTTCCTGAAAATGAACAAATACATCTGAGGTCCTTGCGAGATATTTTTAAATAATTTTATTTATTTTATTTTTATTTTCGGCTGTGCTGGGTCTTTGCTGCTGCCCAGGCTTTTCTCTAGTGGCAGGGAGTGGGGGCTGCTCTCTGGTTGCAGAGCTCTGTCTTCTGATTGCAGAGGCTTGTCTTGCCCCTGCACACGGGCTCCAGGGTGCCTGGGCTTCAGTAGTTGCGGCACATCAGCTCAGTAGTTAAGGCCCCTGGCCTCTGGGGCGCAGGCTCAATAGTTGCGATGCAAGGGCTTAGCTGCTCCGCGGCATGTGGGGGGTCTTCCCAACCCAGGGATTGAACCCATGTCTTCTGCATTGGCAGGTGAAATCTTTACCACTGAGCCACCAGGGAAGCCCCTTACTACATTTTTAAGCCTCAAAAGGAATTCCAAACTCCTCATTTTATTTACTTATTTTTATTTTATTTTATATTTTTGCCACACCACACAGCTGCAGGATCATTGAGATTTCCTGACTAGGGCTCGAACCAATGCCCCCTGCAATGGAATAGCGAAGTCCTAACCACTGGACCACCAGGGAATTCCCAAGCTCTTCAATTCTAAAAACCTGTTTCAGGACGTTATTATTTTCACTGGACCTCTGTGTTCTTTTGTTCATTCAAATATCACCTAGTCGGCCACAAAAATCCTAGTCCTGAATCAAAAGGCCAGAGGGCAGTTATGCCATTACATCACCTGGCTGCCTGCTTTGTGCCTTGCAAGCCCACAGACCTGAGCCAGTGCAGCAGAACCCATGAGAGGAATTCCTTCCTTCTAAGCCCCCTGCTCCTTGCAACAGAGCTGAAGAAAGTTTGAACAGTTAAAACACTGTTCTCATTTATTTCATTTTTTTTTTACTTGTATAACTGTTCGAGCCTCTTAAGCAGCTGAAAACAAGACTTCAGAGCATTTGTGGCCAAGAGGAGTGGGGGGTAACTGTGGGGCCAGAGAATGGATGTGAAGAAGAGGTGATGTGAAGCAAGAACAATTACATTTTTCTTCAGATGGTTTTAGGGGCAAAGTGAAGATGTTCCATTTAGCCAGGGAGGAAATAGATAATTAAAGTTGATGCACAGTCCTGTGTGTGTGCCTTTCATTGAAATATGCAGTTATATAAATCATTCCTTTTGCATGAGTTTCTTGAAAACTACTGGCCTGAAAGAATCAAGAATAAAGCAGTTTGAAAGGAGATGTGTTGTCTTATTTTCTAAGGCTTTATTCACCCAGGAAAAGTCCAGGGTAAATTATAACTTCATTTCTTACAGCCCTTGGGATATGTCTCATATCTTCTTATTTTATCTTTTTTTAGGGTTCAGATGGCCCTATGGGACCCCATGGCCCTGCAGGTCCCAAAGGAGAAAGAGTAAGTCACTCCTGAGGTTATAGAGCCGTGGTCTAAAGAAAACACAAAGTGTGGCTTTTCCTTTTTAGCTGATCTGACACGTTCATTTCCCAGAAGAAATAAAAGACCATCTAATAGTAAACGGAAATAGATACCATCTTAAGTTCTACTCAGAGTCCTCACATGGGGATAATGACAGAGTACTAGAATATGACTGCTTTAATAAAAAAAAAGCCAAAAACAATGCATGTATTTTCGTATCTAAAATAAACAGCTCAGACCATTGCTTCTTAACCCATACGGAAGATATTTTCATTTGGCCTTTATCCAGAAAGTTGAAGTCAATGGGGCTAAAATTTCTGGAACTATATAATCTGGTTGATAATCTTTTATATAAAGCTCCTGTATTCATTCAGAATAAGTTATAGCCCTTTTTAAAAGGAAATTACAAAACCTAAGTATTCTCTGCACATTACACATGCTTCTTTTATTTTAAGCAAAAGAATAGCCTTTCTTTAACATAAGGAAATAATTTTAGTGCTTTATAAAACAAAAACCTTTTACAACCTCTCTATATCTTTGTGGGGAAAAAGACAGTCAGAGTAGAAGATAAATATCTGACACAAAAAAGAAATGTACTAAAGCATCAGCAGCTAGTTATCTTTCTAGAACTTCTCTCCCTTTTTTTTTTCTTCTGTTTTTCTCCCTCTTTTTATTTTCCTCACCTTGAAAAACTTAGGTTTTTTTTGTGTCTGAGTAGAACTGTGTCATCAATTTCCCCACCATCCAGGGTGGATATAAAGAAAGTATCCTAATAGTGAAGTCTTCAAAATGTTGGGATGATTTACTGTGCATGTTTGTGGTCTTCTAAAACTAGATGAGAGTTTCATCATTCTGGGGTAATTTGCTTTAAAGCAGAGAGCCATATAGAGATTTCTTTGGCATACATTCCAATCCCATAATATCATGTCCTATAAAGTGAATTCACTTAGTAAATATTTATCACATTACAATATACAAAACACAGTGTACTCTAGTGTGAAATGGAAATGCTCTCCCCCCATTTGTGAAGTCTGTTTTGCTAATTGTTCTAGTGAATTGCATAATACCATTATAATTGATTCATGATCCTATAACCTTTTATTAATACACTATATATTTACTCAGTACAGTAAAAGAATCAGCTATATTCTATGATCTAAAAGAGTTTATAATCTAATTGTAGAGGGGAAAAAGTATCTGCAAGGAATAATTTGATAATGATGTCAAAATGAATACAAATAGTGCAGACTGTGCATTCAGCGATGAGGAAAGCTAGCATTACTCAAGAATGCTTCTAGAAAGAAGTGACTCCTAAAGGAAGAAATCATATGAACCTGATTATCACTATCTTATTCCTAAGTTCAAACCAATGACTTATGAAGATCATCTTACTTAGAAATATTTAAAAGCCAAGAGTCTCATGCTGCTGATGCATTAAAGCATTGTATCAAGAGATCCAGCACGTGGACTAAAAATGGAGCACCAAATTTCAAGTAGTCTATTGGCAGAAGGCCCTGGGACTCAAGAGGGTTTACCGTTTGGTAAATCAGCTGTTACTTCCGAGAGCTCTGCAGTGTCACAAGAGTATCAGGTCTCAGCGCTGGAGTGGAATGCACCAGGGGAGCAAATGAAATGACTAAGAATTTGTGCAGGCATAGTTTAAGTCAAATGGTGTGCAGTGTAAAGTATTATGCTTATATTTACTCGGCGTGTTAACTATCGTAACTGGATCAGATAGCAGCACTCTCCAAGTGTCCCTCACCCTAAGTGCTACACTGGAGTGTGATTTTCAAAGTTAATTGGTTGAGGTGCCATCTGGACTCTCTTGAAAAAGTTTCAAATTTTAAAGAGGCAGGAATCAAGAAAGGGGGCCTATTCTAGATTAACCCCTCAGTGTAGACAGGCAAATTAATAATCCTGAATGAAACGAGACCAGCCTAAAAGAAACGAGGCGTTTGATAGACAGTATTGTTTGAGAATTGTCAAATACATGACTAGCAGTGTTAGTACTCATGACTAGCAGTATGAGTACACGTGACCCGCAGTGTGAGTACACGCGACCCGCAGTGTGAGTACACGTGACCCGCAGTGTGAGTACACGCGACCCGCAGTGTGAGTACACGCGACCCGCAGTGTGAGTACATGTGACCCGCAGTGTGAGTACACGCGACCCGCAGTGTACAGCTCCTCAGAGCACCTGATGGTCCTGCCTCCAGCTGATTTCTTCATCTTGGCCTTGTAACTACTTAGAAACTCTGTAAAATGTGTTAAATTTGAGAGGTTCAGCATTCTTTCGGAATGAATGAATCCAGGAAAAGAAGTGGCACATTCAAAGCCATGTGTTAATATTTCATTCCTAAAAGTTTTCAGACTAGGACCATTAGGATGCTTTTGGTTCTAAGTGACAGAATCTCAACTCAAAATGGCTTTAAACAGTAAAGAAATTGATAGTTTTGTGTAGCAAAATATCCAAAGGAGGAAGTCTAGTCTTTGCTTCTGTGCCCTTTCCATGAGCTGGCTTTGCCTTTTGACCCACAGGCAAGCTGTTTACAGTGGTTCCAAACCTCCCCTCTGGAGAGGCATCAGCAAAGAACAAACATACGGACCCTCTTCTCCGTTATCCTCCTTAGCATCAAGGAAACCTCTACCCAAGCTTCCCAGCGACTTCCCCCGACACCTCATTGACCAGAGTTGGGTCATATGTCCATTTCTGGAACAGTCACTGGCGAGGGAGATGCAATTGTCATTACTAGCTTAAAGTAATTATTTGGGATGAGCAGTTCTATAAAAGGAGTTTTCTATAGACAAATGCTTCATGACAGCTTAATTCAAATCAGTCACAGTGTATTAATCTTAAAAACAATAAAGCTGAGGTATTTCATCAGAGGAGGAAGGAGGGACTAGGTATATCTTAATAATCTATGGAGATATTTCAAACTAGATCTACTCTAATCCACTGAGTTTTTTCAAATTAGACAGACTCCAAGTTATGTGGATTCTCCTTCTAAATCCCCACCTCCTGCTCCACACACACACACACACACACACACACACACACACACACACATTGTCACCACCAGCACCACTACCTTGTAAAAAAGTCATAAATAACACTGCCAGATGGCAGCACTTATTTTGAATAAGTACTCTTTGGGTTGCCAAGCCCTTTTCATTAAAAACAAGACCTCTAACTGTCCAATAACAATGATAGTTCCTATTTATGGACATAGTATTTGGCAAAATATAATTTCATATTTTATAATAACATTTAATCTTTAGAAAAAGTACTGCAGAATACATATTCTTCTGATTTTACAGCCAATGAAACAGACACAGAAAGGTTAAGAAAGTTACTCAAGGCCACAGGACCAGTAAGTGCCAGAACTGGCATCCACATTTAAATCTGTTTCACTTCAAAGCCTGGCTACTTCACTGAACGCAACTCCTGTTCTTTCAGTAATAATCAGTAAAAGTTCAACAAGATTTTATTGTGTTTATTCCCAGTAATCTCCTGATACTATGTGTGCCTCTAAGCGACCGTGTTAATTAGCACCAACAACTCCCTAAATTTAAAGGAGGTTGTTAGTGACTTGAAATTTGCCCCCATGGAATCTAGAGTGTAGAGAAACACAGAATAATCCTTGGATCTGTATGCGCAGTTATCAGCTGAACTTGTCATTTTACCCTTGAAAAAGATTTAGCACCTTTAAACCTCCTTTAAGGGTGGTGATAAAAGAAGGTAACATTTTCTGTTTGGTCCTCATGTAAACATCACCGTTCCTCCTGAAGTTTTCATACTAGGCATTGACAGTCAAACTTTGGAGATGGCAGCAGAAGAAAATACTACTTGAAATGCAAAACATTTATTTCTTTATTATCACAGTTATATCATATTCCTGGGACCACCTCCAATTGCACTAATTTTTTATAAGCATTCAGATTATTGTCTAAGCCAAGGCAAACTATTCTCCTTAAATAGGTACATGGAGAGAGCAATGAAGGCAGTAAATTCCTACATTATCAAGCATTGAGGAGAAGGCATAAAAGTTTTTAAACCCTCTTTTTCATAAAGGAAGCAAAACGTGGACGACTGTATTGATTTGACTTGATTCATTAATTCTACAAATATTTACTGATGTGCCAGACACTGTTGTAAGCTGTGGGCATGCAGTAGGGAACAAAGCCAGGATCCGGATACCCTGATGTGCATATTCTAAGGAGGGACTCAGCAGAGAATAGACAATTTATTACATGGGTATGTCTCCCAGTATATGAGCACCCTCAAGTAAAATACAACTCAATTTAAGTAGGATGGAGGGGAGGGGAGTCAAGGAGGAAAGGCTTGCTAAAGATGAGACATTTGATAGGAGGAAATAAAAACATTTTATCCTTACATTTTTGAAAGAGTAGTATTTTAGTAGTAGTACTAAAATAATTAGTAATGAATAAACATTTCACATGAATGCCAAAGAAAGCCAAGCACAGCACACTAGACAGCCAAGTCTTTTTGCACAGCTGGACGGCGTCAGTCTGACCTACAGCCCTTTCAAAGGTGATTCTGTAAAATGCACTAATACTTTCTTTTGCTGTATCACTGGCAGCGACCCAGAAGAGCTTGTCTTTTTAGAGTTTTGATAGAATGATGATTCACATAGAGGCTCTGGACACAAGGCATTAGAGCAAGTGTATGAATATAGACATTTGTGTATGATTGGAACTCTCATCTTTTATTCCAGGGTGAAAAAGGAGCTATGGGAGAGCCGGGACCCCGAGGGCCGTACGGTCTGCCCGTGAGTTCTGTGTCCCGTGGTTTCCCCCAGCATGTGTAGACGATCTGTTATTGGCGCAGTTAACTCTCCCTCATGGGCAGGCTAATCCCATTAGAGGAGCAAAGTGCAACCCACTAATTCCCTTCAACACCAGTGTAACCGTGTGTTTCAGAGATAGGTCATATTTGTGCCGTATCCTCACACTCAGGTACACTCATCCACGCGCTTCACAAGACTGAGAGGATCAGAGGCTGTCCATGAGATGGACAGGGCTAAGCTGAAAGCAGGATCTGGGGCCATCTGACTGGACCCATAACTGGCCCTCTCTTGGGAGGTCTTAGTACCAGAAGTGGGTGTGGAAGCTTTATTTAAAACAACCCTCTTTAGACTTTATCCATTCTCATAGATAACTTACAAAAACTGTTCTTGCTAATCAAAGTTGTTTCTAAATTGATATTTACAATGATGTTGCTGTTTCTGACCTTTCTAAATCACTGTGATGACAAATGATCTTCAGAACAGCAATGTTGATAGTGTTCTATCTTCTGAAAATTCTCAATCACCCCCACTCACATTGAGAGCCTGGGGTCTGCTTCAGAATATCCTTTTTAGGGTAATTGTGAATGATGAAGTGGGGTAAGATAGGACTTCAGTAGAAGCATATACTTACTGTCATCTCAAGGTTTCTAACCCCTGTGTCGCTTTCACACAACTTGCACATTCTAGGTTTTATAAACTGAAATAAAAGCGTCAGCCATGATTATTTGAGTGCTAAAAGATATGCCGATTTTGAAATAGATTTCAAAATCTAAATGATGGAATCAAGCATCTTCTCAGCAACTCTTGGGTGGATCCATTGTGTGACCCTAGTCATTGCCCTGAAAATCTGCTCCACAGGGGTGAATGGATAGGGGACCATTCATCTACAAACAGTTTTTAAATTGTGAGCTTCACACCCTCAATATTTATAGACAAGGTGCACATCTAGATAAATTAAAGCTGTATTTAACAGTTCTCACATTCTTTGCTCACTTATAATTTATTAAGCTGTCAAAGTAAAGTAGTTTCGATTTGCATATTCTACAAGTGCTTGTGTGTTTTTAAATCAACTAAACAGTATTTTTGCTTTTGACTTACTCCTAGATAAATAAATTGGATACCAACAATTAAACTTCAGCAAAATATCACACTAAACCTGATACATAATAAAGCATGTTCATAACCCTTAACTGCAACATTAACAATCACTTCACTTGATTTAGTGAAAGAAATTTGTATTACTAATCAATACAGGATTTTTTCACTTTTCTGAATTAGTTGTTTTAATACTAGTGTTGCATGTCCAGGCAGCCTTAAATAGAACAATAACCTATTCATGAAACTTAGGAACACTAATGTAGCTACTATGGTTCTTTGGCAGGGGAAAGATGGAGAGCCTGGTCTTGATGTAAGTAAAACATGCAATAAACATCTTCCCATTATAATAGATGCTGATGGTCTCCATCATCAATCACAGCGAGAATAGTTCTAATTTTTTTCTATGCACATAGTTACACATACAGCATATATTGCTGTGCATGTAGACGGCAATATGAAATCTACCACTAGTGTCTGCATGAGATAGACATGGAGGCAAAGACCATAATTATTTCGGTACAAAATTAATAACTGACAGTTGATATACAAAATACTTTCCCAAATTAGACACACTCAACATCTGTGGCTGAACCACTTATTTTAAAATATGCATAAAATTGAAACATTTTTTATGTGCTACTCTTAGGGAAATGGTATGTTTATTTTCAAAGCTTTTATACAGTATTTTTCTTTTTAGCATTAAAGTCTCTATATGTCTTATAGTAACATAATTCTCTAAAAATAATGTTAAAGTCAATCCCTCTTAAAATGTCTGCTGCTCATCCTGTATTATTTGAACAATAGCAGTAGCAAAAGTGATCATAGTAATTGTGTATCAGACACCTGTTGTGTACAGACATCATTCTGGTACCTTATATACATCTTCGAGTTTAATGCTCACATTGGCAGTTGTGTAGTAACATTAACCTCATTTTATGATCAAAGGACTAAAATGCTGAGGTGAGTGATTTGCCCACAGCCACACAAATCCAAGAGCTTGCCAGGATTCAAACTAGCATCCTAATATTCTCTCCACTATGCATTTCTTTGGAGAAGCAGCAAGAAACCCTTTGGTATAGATACTTGAGATGCTAGGAAGCTGTTATTTCCAAGTACTACTTTACCCATCTAAGTTTTGAGATTTGGGGCCTTGCCATGTGTCTTTATATTTGCGTTTGGAAACATGAAATCTTGTTTCTTTCAATGTGGTTTTGCCACAGTTACATCAATAGATCTTTTTGGTTTGCTTTTTATCCTGTAGGGTTTCCCTGGTCCACGAGGCGAGAAGGGTGACCTGGGAGAAAAGGGGGAAAAGGTGACCTCTCCCACCTAGCATGTGCCTGTTTGATTTTTCTGCTTCTGTCTGCTTTGCTGCTCATGCTGTGTGATTCTTTCATACATCTCATCTTTCTCCATCCTGTGCTCCAAAAACACACTGATGTCTGATCTAATGAACCAGGTCTCTACAGAGGAATAAAGAAGGCTACACTGAAAGAAATAAGGGCACTGTCAGTGTAGAAGAAAAGAATTATAATCCCCAGAAAACCAGGCTACAATTTTTGGACTACCTGACACCAATTAGTTGAAAAACTGAAGTTTCCAGGAGGTGTAAAAAATGAGAGGGGCAAGCATCTATTACATCAATAATATTTAATAGCACAAATCTTCAACAGTCTTCTGGCAGAGCTCACCTAAGCATATAAAGCCAGCACCTCATTTATCTCCACAACATTCCCAGTAGAGACAGGATATGTCCTTTATCTTGATTTTTTTAATTGGAAAATGGAAGACAAGCATTGTTTCTGAGACCCTTACACAGAGACCAGGACTTGTTACCTTCAAACACTGCAGATGTTTTAAATGAAGATATTAGTGTATTTTATGAGATTGGCTTTTAGGTTCTGTCTCAAGATAAACAAGGAGCCAATACCAGGCAAAATGGTTTTATGTCTAGAAGAAAAGTTTGGATTATGGCTATTTTAAACCACTTTTTCTTCTTTGAAGAATAGTTATATATATATATATATATATATATATATATATATATATATAATCTTATATATATATAATGCATATATATAATCTTATATGTATATATACACAATATAAACAATACTTAGCTAATATAAACAATACTTAGCTTCCCACTGCTAGGAAAGCTCATGTGAGTGGTTATATAAAACATCACCATCATCATTGTCAATATCATCACATTTATTGATGTGTTTTTATGTTTTTCCTAGAGCTTTACATATGAGAGTCTTTTAATCTTCATAACAACCCCCTAAGGCTGGTGTTATCATTGTCCCCATTTCATAGGCAAGGAAACTGAGGCATAAAAAAGTTCTTTTATTCTGAACTGTAAATTGTAACTATAAAATACACATGTTTTGAGATAAAAGCTTTGGGCCCAAGGTGTGTGTGTGTGTGTGCCTTCAAGATTACAGGCATTTATTTTATACTTACCCAACAGATTTTATGAGTCTAAAACTTCATCCACTCAAAATAATGTTAGCATTATGAAGATATTCATTCTAATGATCTTTTAAACAAAGAAGAGATTACCAGTATTATAACTTGTGAAAACCTAAAGCTACAAATTTAATCCTCAGAATAATGTTAATCACTCAATACAAAAGTATTTCTGTACTTCAGGTTCCATTATTAGAAGTTTTATACTTAGGAAATTAGATCCAAATGTGAGCACTTTATGTATATCATTGTTTGACATGGGACATAAAAATTAGCCAGAGCCCTTATATATTCATACCCACAAAGACATAGTTGCAAAACTATGCTGATTAATAATAACACTGACACATTATTCTCTACAATAGTATCTGTTTTCCATAAAGCTTGAGGTTCACTAAAATATTGTTGAAGAATGATCCCCTGAGCCTGTTAAAAGTCAGCATTCATATGACAACGCTTTTTCACTGAATGGTTAATCTGAGTTGATTAACCAATCAAAGAAGGAGTGGAGTCCTAAATTAATAACACCCAGCACAGGTGGTGTCAGTCACACCTATGTGAAGAGGAGTCCACTGCCTCCCAAATAAGTCTAAATCAATTGTATGTCACGGAACTGATGTTATTTGCTGAAGAAGTGTGTTGATTCATCTTGCATGAATGAGCAGTTTACTCCCAAAGCTCCTCCCATTGTACTTCCTTTCACACCTGCTTTCATTTCATTTCACCCTGGCATCTCAAGTCTTTGTTTTTGATCGTGATCAACTAAACCACACAGAATTTCTCTTTTCCCGATTTTAGAGAAGCCCAACTGGTTTTGATTCTGAGCCTTCTGATGCAATCTTTTTGGCACACAGGAGATCAATGTGGAGTTTCACTCACACAGTCAGAATGAATGCATTAATTTGAATGCATATCTCATCTATATCTGTTATGTTTATGTGTTTGAATATTGATGCTGTTTTGCTTCTGAAATTATTCAGATTTATTGTATCTGTCATCCTGATTGCAGAATGAATACACTCATTTAAATATGTATTGCATAGTATTTTGTATTCTGCACTGCACCAGCTTCTTGTCTATAAATATGCAGAGATATTTATGTTAATGTGAAACAGCTGAGGTACATTCCTTCCTTCTCCTCCTTTTGCCTCCTTTCCTTAATTCCTCCATCCCTATGATCCATGCAGACTTCCACAACCTTTACCTTGATTCCTAAATACTAATTCCCATGGCTAAATTCCCACTATGTAATTATCCTGCCTACCTCATTTTTAGTGTTAGCTCAACTGAATCCAAACCGCTTTTCCCCTCTAGAACAAAACTTTTTTTCTTTGCTTTTGTTACCTTGTGAGTAAGCTGGAAACCCATTTACCATTGTGAATACCTGGCATGACATCAATAAGCGTGAATTAAAAAACATCTCTTGGTTTATAAATAAGTTTCTCCAACTGACATTGCTAAGAAATCTTAGCACTTTTAAGATTTATTTACCTGACTCAATAAGGGAAGTATTTGTTTTTAGTTTCCTTAAAAAAAATCTTAAAAGAAAGAGAAGTATCTTTTTAACACACTATGTTTAAATGAGAACTACAAAAAATGATGTCAGAAAGTTGGATACATTTCAAAAAGATACAAGCTGTTAATATTTTTTCCTTTTCCTCTGGCTCATGTAGCTTTCATCTCTGATAGGATTAGGGGGAAAAAAAGTTGGCAGGTACTGAAAATTGGCCGTGAAAGTCTCCATTCTTCCTCTCAACTTCCCCTGCCACTGGCTGACTTCAGTACGGTTGATATCTGCCATCTTCACCGGAGCGGTGGCGGGAACACCTCATTCACAAGGACCCTGGCATTGGGTCTAAGTCATCACTGATCCTCCTTTCTGATGTGTCAGCTTTTAAGTTCTTTCATCTTGTTGAGTCTTTTTAATGAAATCTTGTATTTCACTCCCCAGAATCCATCGCCATGCTGAAAGTCTGTTTTTTTCATAATGTCATGCCTTATCTAAACCAGAAAATGGTGGTAAATGCCCTTCCAGACTTTCATTGGCTAAACCATCTTTTGAATCACCATTACCTCCCCCCACCCCAAATAAAAACTGTCTTTTATTTAAACCCTTGTATCCACAGGGGGAAAAGGGAAAGAAAGGCAAAAAGGGGCCTAAAGGGGAGAAAGGAGAACAGGGTGCTCCTGGATTAGATGCACCGTGCCCGTTGGTATGTCTGACCTGTGCAGCCGTCTCCGGGTGTCCCATCTGGAGGCTGAGCTGGGAGAGGAGCAAGCTGGAGGGGCCGTACCAGCGTAGTTCTGACTGGGTCTATTTTCAAAAGACAAAAAGCATTTGATTTTGTTATGGGAGCAGAGCTGATCACCAGTGCTGTGATACTTTGAGGTGGACAGCAAAGGGACCCACCCATACACATACATGTATCCACTCTCCTGGTTGGGGTCTTTTAACATAGACTCTTAAGATCCCTCATGTTGTCCTGGGGTATGCCACCCCTTGCCTCTGGCCACCAGCTCTTCTTGGGTTTCTCAGCAATAAAGGATTGATGTGCATCCAGGGCGTGAACGCAGGATCAGAGGAGGAACCAGGACTCCTCCCTCCCGCTCCCCAGAGCAGGTCCAGGTGCCCAGACAAGCCCTGCTTGTAGGACCACATCAAGCCCTGTTTTCTTTTGTCCAGCCTCGCTGGCTGTTACCTTTCCCTTCAGAGTTGCTCCTCTCCCAGTCTTTTGTTATGGTGGTTATTTCTTTAGCAGAATTTGTGCTCAAGTGATTTCTTCTGTTCAGTAACGTTATGAGTTAATCTTTACAAACAGGGATTCCGTGGCGTTAAGGGGGAAAAAGGGGAGCCAGGCCAGCCTGGCCTGGATGGGCTGGATGCCCCTTGCCAATTGGTACAGTATTTCTCTTTCCTACCACCCTGCATGCCATTCCTTTGTTTATTACGTATTCATCCCTCTCAGTGTAAAGTGGCACTTCCAGACACACCACGTGCATGTGCATGAATCGCTCCTTCAGTGACTCTGCAGGGTGAAGAGGGCATGCACGCGTTTCAGTCAGTGACTGCAAACTAACCTCCTGGCACTGTTCTCACAGCTGACATGGCCGCCATGTCTGTGTTCCAGGGAATGTCCATTTATCCAGTAACTATTTCAAGATGACATTAAAAGGACATTAAAAAAAGTAAAGATACAGCTAGGCTTTAACTTTGGGTTTTTCCCTTAAAGTTAGCTTTTTTTCTTTAAAAGAAATAAAGGCATTTTTGCCACTTCCACTAAATTTCTGTCAGGCTGTAAATAAGGCCAAACCTACAGAGTTAAGCTTCTGTGGTCAAGATTTAACCAGTTCGAGGGAATGTTGTTAAGAGACCATAGAGACGAAAACCAAACTTCTTGAAGCTTCTAAAGGTGGTAATAGTCTGTAGCCCATACCCTCTTCTTTGTCACATAACCTTTTCAATTTAATGGCCTCTCCTTTTGAAACTCACTTTCCTAAAGTAGAAAGATCTTCCCTACCTCCATTTGGCATGAACTCAAAATCCTTCTTACACTAAAATCTAAAATTCTACTGGGTGATCCTTCTCCTTGTACCAATCTGGCATTACCAATTTTTTCCCAAATATAAAGTCATTTTAAGGTGTTCTTTTTTTTCTTTTTAGCAATTAAAAAGAAAGTATATTCTGACTTTCTGAGGTGTAAAGAAACATTTTATTATTGTGTTGATGGTTATATTTGGTCTGCATGTTCTTATATTATTCTTAAGTACTAAGCATGATTCTTTTAAGATAAATTTATGCTTCTCAAGTCTTTTAAGAGATTGCATAATAGAAGAAATTTTTATTCAGTCAGTAATTGCAATTAGTAGATTTCAATATGATGTGCCTAGTCTTTTATTTTGTTTGCTTGATATTGACAATAAATAATATTTTACAATCATTTTGCTGGGAGAAAACACAAGCATGCCTCATAGTATGTCAGTTCTTATCTTATTTATATCATTTGTATCTGAAGAGTGCTTATACCTTAAGTGAAAATAAATTTTGCAACATATAAGAATCTTTTGTTTATTACTTGTTAATTGGCTTCTGAAGAATTTCAATTAAAAAACTGACAAAGACTTTGGACAACATTTTGCTGTAAAGATATAGACAATACTTATCTTTTAATCCAATCAATTTAATGTTCCACTTTTTCTGCTTTCAACCTAGAAAAGTTGAAAAATACTCCATGTGAAGAGCTATAAACTTCAGATAGAAATGGTTCATCACTGATTACTCATCATTATCATGCATTTAGCTGTAAAACATAGTGACCAGGAAGAGAAGTTATTTTCATTTATTGAATAAAGATAATTATAAAATGCATCTTAATGAAATTAAGAGAAATAATACAGATTTATTATCTAAAGATATAACTAAGTAAACCACTAAGTTTTACAAATCATTGTTCAACATTAAGGATGAATATTTTTACATTTTATTTATTTGCAAAATGTGTACTCACTTTGGAAAACATTTGAATTTTCTTCATTTTAACTAGTGTTGGGTAGTCTATTGGGGGTGGATAAAAGATGCCTATGACTAAAGCCACCTAACAGCTATAAATCCATTTTTAAGCCTCTGAGCTTATTAATTATGAAGTATGATCACTTTTGTGGAAGCTGAGGAATTTTTATTCTTTTTGAAATAGGGGCCAGATGGATTACCCATGCCTGGCTGTTGGCAAAAGGTAGGCATTACAGAGTTATTTCTAAAAGAATCACTCTCCCTTTCTCTTCACCTGGCCTAGCCCTTTCCATTTAGAACAGATTTTTTTTTTTTAATTTGACATTCCTGAAATGTGTATGGGTATTAAAAAGGAAAATATTCCATCTCTGGAGTACCTTCTGATGGTGTTTACTGCTGATTTATTTCTAAATGGATGAGTGCAAATAGTACCTAGCAAATGCTGTAATTTGTACCTCTCCACATTTAATCTTTTCTTCAGGATGGAAAGGGGCAGTGCATCTTGACAATGGTTTGCTTGTGTCAAAATTCTTTTCCTCATACTGTTTAAAATTGTTCTTAATTGTGATTCCTTTTCTATTTACACTCAGTTACTTAGATAAAATATGCAAATACATGGTAGAACCCTGTCAATCAATATTAGTCACAAAGCTGAGAAAGCAGAAAATGTAAGAATGATTTTTTATTCAAAGATGCCTTGATTTATTTAGGAGAATATGGTTACATTTAAGTGGATGTACTTTATGATAGCAGTTTGCTCTAGACTCTACATCTGGCCACCCATAGTCACTGTGTGTGTATTCAGTAGAGAAGGGAACTTATTCCTCATAGAGAACCTGTGTACAAAGGCTGTGTGATAAGCCCTTTCATATAGGTGACATCACTTTATTTAATCCTCATCATAATCCTATAGGGTATCACTGGGCTTTCCATGTGACTCAGGGGGAAAGAATCTGCCTGCCAATATTGGCAGGAGATGCAGGTTCGATCCTGGGGTCAGGAAGATCCCCTGGGGGAGGAAATGGCACCCGACTCCAGGATTCTTGCTGGGAAACCCCATGGACAGAGGAGCTTGGTGATACAGCTGGGCACACACCACAGGGTGTTATTAGCCTCAATGACGCTGATGAAGGAGATGAAATTCAGGAAGGTTAACACTTCCAAGGGCACAGAGCTAGTGTGTAACAGAGCTAGAAGCAGACAGTGGAAAGCAGTGGCAGAACTTGAAGGAGGGAAGAGATCGGTGTGCTGTGCCGTCCAGAGAATACGAAACCTTTACACTGTGTCGGTGCAAACCTCAGCATAGGGCACTGTGTGTGCTACCTAAGGTTAAAGGGATTCCACTGAGGTGAAAATGAGCTGAGGGAAGTGTGCACGCTCTTTCGTCATTCTGAATTTTTTCCTCTAACACGTGCGGCTTATTCAGGCATTTTTAAAAAAAATTTATTGAAGTATAGTTAATTTAGTGTATACTATTGTGTTCTTTCCTTCTGTATTGCATTGATTCAGATATACACATACATATTCTTTTTCATATTCTTTCCCACTGTGGTGTATTGCAAAATATTGAATATAGTTCCCTGTGCTATACTGTAGGACCTGTTGTTTATCGTTTATCAGGCGTTTTTGACAGGCAGGCTTCACAGGCAAAACTGTAGGACGGCAGAGAGACGTGGAGAGACAGGACTCTTATTCACCTCTCATCTCATCAACTCTGTTGGTGAGGAGATCCTGTGACACTCACTCTCTTGCTTAATACTTTCACACCCCCTTGGCCAGGGAAAGAAAAGCCTTCTCTCCCAGTAGCGTCATTTATTCAGTAGCTTCCCATACTCCACTTTCAGCCTGTCAGACCATTAGCTCCGTCACATCAGAGGTCAACTGGTTCTTGGGAAGATGATCAGTCTTCTTCACCTGAGAAAACTATCCTTTCACTATCCTTTCATAACCCCTGTTTTCAGAATTTTTAATACCATCCTGAGCTGGAATTACCATCTGCTCTTTAACCTTGGCCCTGTAATCTGATCCTGTCATGATTTTTTAATCCAGTCATCCGAACACTTTACATGGAGGGAGATGTGAAAGGCCTATCTTATTCAGCCTCTGACTCTACTCAGAACTGGGGTTCATGTCATTTTCAGCCACTTCGAAACCATGTCCCTTTTGTGAGGCATAAAAATAACGGCAACAAGCAAAGGATTCATCATCTTGTTGGTTCATAAAATGGCCAAATCTAGTAATATGAGCTAATGTGAGTTGCTCAGAAAATCAGAAATTTCCCTTTTAGGTACTTATTTTTCCACAGAATATATACTATGCCCTATATAAGATTAAGGCTCTCCTAAATCTAGCCTTTCTTTATATAAAGAATATACACATTTAAATCATTTAGACTTCAATAAAATTTTTAAATGGTAAAAAAGAGAATAACTCAGTGATAAAGCTTCAATATTGCTTACTACATTCCCCAACCCAGTCAAATGCAAACCATTGCAATCATCCTCTCCCAACATCTTCCTGCACGCACCAAAAAGAGAGAAAGGAAACAATTAGACGGGGTTGATAGAGGCAAACTATTAAATTTAGAATGGATAAGCAAGGTCCTACTATGTAACACAAGAACTATATCCAATCTCCTGGGATAAGCCGTAATGAAAAAAGATATTTTTTTAAAGTGCATGCGTGGGTAAAAGTGAGTCACTTTGCTCTACAGCAGAAGTTGGCACAAATTGTAAACCAACAATACTTCAGTTAAAAAAAAATTAGAAAAGTGAAATGTTCTAAAATTTCTCCTGTGGTCAACTTAGCCATCTCAAATATGCTGTTGGTCAAATCAAATTAGTTTTTAAGTGATATTATTAAAAGAAGGCCGGTAGATTACTTAGTCCTGTTTTAGTGGACCACTTTTTTGAATATTAAGTTTAGTAGTCTCTAGAGTGATGCAAGTCCAAACCCTGAGTTGGGAAGATCTCCTGGATCAGGAAATGGCAACCTGCTCCAGTATTCTTGCCTGGAAAATCCCAGGCAGAGGAGCCTGGTAGGCTACAGTCCGTGGGGTCACAGTGTCAGATATGACTGAGCAGGCACACACAGTCTTGAGAGCACAGTGATAAATGTTTGACTGAAAATTCAGATTGTAACCACAGTGGAAAGCACTGTGATTAATGAACAAGTCCTATTGTTTTCATGCTACTCTCAATAATAATTTTTTTCATGTAAAACTGTTTGATCTTTATTTAAATTACTTTTCTTTCTAGTTCAGTTATAGTTAGATATAGATATAGTTCAGTTATCTGTATTTGGAGAATAATGATGTATCAATTCACATTGTAATTCATACAGTGAGTAAAAGGCAGAACTCATGGTTCAGAAAATCCTGAAAAGCTATTTAAGTTATCATCTGTCCTTATCCAGAGATTAAAAACCACTTAATAGGAAAAATACCTGTAGCCTTCACAGTTTTAAATGTTTCGTGAAATTTTGTTTTTTCAGATAGTGCAGGCTTGCAATAGAATCTTCCTAAAGTAAGACAGATTTTTTAAATTAAGTTTTAAAATCTGGTGGGAAAAAAGAATCTTTAAAATTCTGGAAACTATTTACAAAACATTGGTTTCTCAAAAAATGTATTTGTTTGAAATTTGAGATGAGTGGGAGTGTGGAAAAAAGAATAATATTTCCTGTACACATTCTCTGACCTTAGCATGATGTGAGTAACACTAAGTGAACTTCATTGCTAAGGATCACAGAGGACCCAGCCTCTTAAGCATACTTAATATAGCGTCTATTTTTACTGGAGAGAAAAAAGCAAATATTTTTAATTAGTGAAATGAAAGATGACTCTGAGGATGAGCCACCATTGTGATGGGGAGATGAGAGATCTTTATCATTGTCCTTCTCTGGACATTCTACTTTTCTCACTCATTTTTCTTTGAGAGAAAGTCAAGCATGTCACCAAGATCTGCTCTATAAGTTATACCTCAAAGACTTTTGTTCTTCTGTTCTCTCAGACTTAAAACTTCAGCTCCAGGGCAACCTTAGTAATCATGGCTGCCCAGAACGAGGAACTGGACTTTTCTAGATCTTGAGATCACAATAGAACCTGTCATACAGCTTGAAGACTTGACAACAGAGGTCGGTCCTGCACACTCTTCACAGCAGGGCAGGGCCGGAAAGAGGAGATAAGAACCCAAGGACAGTAGACTATTATAGTTGAGTGTCAGTGAAAGAAGCAGTGTCATTGCACTTGTGTTTTAATGCTTGGAGATGATTACATAAGCCATACCTAGAACATATATTTTAATTATGGTGTGTCTGTGATAAAATTCTAATTTTCTGCTTTCCCAGAATAGTTACTGAGACAAACACTTCCCACAGACTTCTCAGTAGCAAAATAAAAATGTGGGTTGAACCTAGGATAAAATGTTTGATGAGTTTTAGAGAAGTAATGTATATGACATATCAATTGACTCATTGATTTAAAAAAAAAAAAACTTCTATTCAGGGTTCTACCAGTTTTCTTAAAATAAAAGCCAATTGAGTTTTTATCCTAAACTACTAATTCTCTATATTTCTCTTTTTTGTTGTTTTCCTGCAGTGATGAATCTAACCTTCCGAGCATGACGTTGTGTATATAATGGTCCACTTTTTATATTTATAGTTGAAATTGGATTGCAGATTGTACAAGTCTGAGATATGTTTACATGTCGCTGCTTCTTCCTGTTTGCTATAGTACACATATCCATCTTTTCTTCCCTTACATCTAAAATCGGGCAAGATGTGAAACCAGTAAGAAGCCTGCAGAAAATATAGATCAGTATCTCTTTATCTTATGCGAAGATATGTATTTATATGGACCCAGTGATAGGAATTGATTGTTCTTGCTATTTTCTTACCTTGGGCTTGTTAATTGCATGGGCAAAAAGCGCCATGAGATAGTTTACATGAAATTGTGACCAAATATGAACTCAAAGCTATGAAAACATACCATACTGACTGATTTTAGAGTTTGTCATCACAGCCCTGCTCACCTTTGCCGTTCATACCCACACCACCCACTGAAACTGACTAAGAAAGCATGATCGTGTGCCAAGCCTGCTTGCTGTGCACCTTCAGATGCTAGCATGCCGCGTGATGAGTCATTTGATCACAACGGAGCTTTTATTTCTTTTGTCATCTCAAGGGGGTTACACCGTGGCTTATTGCCAAAAAGTGATAAGGTGGCGGAGAGCACACACACAAATGGTCTTGTATTTTACGGGCGCTGCGGTCCCAACTACGGATCTTCAGCTTCCAGTATTGTGGGCTCACGTGGCCTCCTTGGTTAAAATGTCCAGGGGCTGAGCTGGCTGCTGACACCAGTTTTCCTTGGGCTCCCCTTGGCAGTGAAGACAAGGAGAGAGGATTGGTTCAGCCTCCTGCGCTGTCTCTCGTGTGACCAAGTAGAAAAGAGGTTTACAAAAAGGCAGGCACCCAGAATGGTGGACTTTTATTTTTTAAATAAACCAAATTCCAGCAAGTGTTAAAATGGGTGCATTTGGAAAATGACAGAAGCATACAGCACTTCTTTGGGGTAGGAGGTTCTTGTAATGGCAGTCCCTGTTCCTGAAGAAAAAACATGTGTGTACATCTCACCAAAGCTTGGGTTGCTGAAGAAATAACAAATCCCAGGAAAGGGGTGGATGAGACAACCTTTCCTGAAAATGTAGGGGAGTTCACCTTGCATTACCTACAGAAGCTGATGTGAGCTTCCCTCCCATCCAAGATCCAATCCATGCTGAACATTTTCTACAAACTTTTAGAAACAGATATTTTCCATTCTTTTTAATACTTTTCTCTTTTAGTCCCAGGAATATTCAGGAAACTTTTCTTTTTCAGCCTTTGTCACATTTATTTTGAACAATTGTTTTTTTTTTTTTTTCTTCAAAGCCTTGCAACTTGGTACACCAATGGTCCAGATGAGCTTTTGCTAACTTCTCTCTTGTTCTAAATAATTGAGTAGAATATAAAAGAAGCTCCACTTTCAGTTCAATCGTTGTAAAGCATCAAAGTTAAGCCATTTTTCAGGACTTTTTGACTTTTTTTGTAGGATGAATATAACATACATAGTGATTATCAGTTAAGATAAAGTCAAGATTTGGTCACATTTGATAGTATTAACTCATTTCTATTTCTTTTAGTTCTATTGAGATCTAAGTTGTATCTATATTTAGATTTCTTTTATCTTTTTTATATTTCTAAATGTTTGTCTTATGCACAGACCAAATCTGAGATCTCAGAAAGCTGTGAAATATAGTTGCCATTAAGAGTATTTTTTCAACTACTTGCTCAAAAGTTACCTAACTGTATTAGACTGAGCATTTCTTTGCACAGTAAAGAGTTGCTAGCGTGTTTTGAAATGACTTGTTCTAGTGGAAGGGTTACATTAGGAGGAACATCATCAATGAACAGTCACTCTTTCAACCCATTGGACAATATAATTTCTCATTTCAGGCCATTTTGTTGGAAATTTTCTGGTTTCATGTATAGGTTTTCACCAGCAGAGGGGAAATTACCTCACCATTGGCTTCTGGTGACAACAGTTAGGATATGATTGTAAGACAGGGATCCTAAGATCCTTATGATCTCTTTCAAATTATTTAACCAAATGCTCAGTTAACAAAATGCCTTCTTTTTGTTTTGATTACGTTTTGGAGAATTGAAAAATGTTTGAACGAATCTATCAATCAAGTTGGTAACATTTCTAGTAACATTCCACACTCCGAAACCAATTTAGCTTTTTTTCAAACAGAAGAGGGCATTTTCTACCCATCTCTTGTATGAGCTGGCTAGGATATGGTGTTTTTTCAATGTCTGAAAAAATTTGTCTTAAATGGTTTGGAAAAATGAACTAAAGCGGGTAAAGCTACAATCTCTTCAGGAAAACAAACAGTAGTGTCTTGAGAAAAATCTGGTGGCTATATTTCTTCCTATCTATCTTTCTTTCTACTCCTCTAGCAGAAAGAGGAATCGAGATGGATCACTGCTTAAAACTTGCACAGCTTCAAAAGAGAATACCTCAACATCAAAAGATAAACATTTCATGTACAAAAAATATATATATTTTTTAAACACAGCCCTTTAGAATACTGTTCTATCCTATATGTAAATTGAGGTTTTGCTCCATAACTGATTTGACAAAATTGATTTTTATTCCATGATTAAAGGAAGCTGTAAACTTTCAATATATTTATTTCTTTGGGGAAAACCAAAGGACTGTGGTCCTCCTCTTTGTTCCATGGAATTACTAGGTCTTAACCACCATGCATAATCGTCAGCTTTTGTTATTAAAATATTTTAAATCATCCATTTTGTTATCAACATAGAAAATCCTCAAGTAATTGCCTAATGAACTCATGAATGTGTCCGCTGATATATGTGTTGGCAGATACATATCTTTCTTTAAGTTTTCTTTCTTTTAATTTTTCATTGGATAGAAGATTAAGAAAAAATACATGAAAGACACATTGGAAATAAGTCAAGATCAGGTTCTATTTCTGATAAGCATCTTTAAAGAATGTCAAATTGGTATGTGTTTTAGCTTTTAAGTTGTTTTCCATTTATGTTGGTGCTAATGTATTTCTTTTTCTTGATGGAAAATGCAATTCTACTATGGATAATTTCATTTCTCTGTTTAATAGCATTCCTAAACTGTTAGTGTGTGATTTTAACTTTAAAGTTTATGGATTTACTATAATTATGGTTCAATGACCAGTCTTTCTTAATGTAAAAGAAAACAAAACATCGTACCCTTAGATGATGCGTGTTTGTTTGGATTGTGGATCCTCTTATTTAATGTTCATTTCATGTACCATATGCCTTTATCAACTTTCATCTTTTAGCTTATATAATTTGATCGAGTGACAGAACCAACATTAGACAAGTCTGCATACATTCATAGAGTACCTGACACATAAATATGCTGAAATTTTTCTTCTAGTTTTCATTTTCACTATGAAAAGCAGTCATGAAAGGTTTTTCTTTCTTATTTGATTTCATAGAAAACATGAGAATATCTTTAATTTCTACCAAAAATTATCTGTTCTTAAACCCTGTGCATGATGTTCTGATGGGACAGTAAGAACTCCGATTCACCCAGTAGTTCAATCTATATATGCTTTGTCTGCAATATATATATATATATATATACACCTCTCTGCTAGTTTGGAAATGATCAAATCAGCATGATCAAATTAATGGAAAAATTAACTGGCATCATATCTTTATCACTTAGAAAACATGCTTAATTTTCCAAAGTTTTATTTTTAATGTTTCTATTGTAGCATAAAAAGTTAACACAATATTTCATTCTTTTTTTTTTTTTGACCATTATATATAATCTTGCCCAGAAATAAGCAATGCTTGTTAAGGTGGGTGATATTTTTATGTCTCCTAATAAATGATCATAGGAACATGCAGATATTGATATTTGAAATCTTGTTTTTCTCTACTTCTTGATGATGAATTTATATTAATAGTTACTATTACCAAAAACAAACTTTAAAATTTTTTACCAAAACAAACAAAAACCTTGCTATCTCTAAAAAGTCAGGACTACAACAATTTAGCCTTATATTCTCAAAAATAATGACTAAGAACAGTCACCTGTGATTCTGGCTGTTAAAACAATTCATTCCTAGTGGAATTAACATACTTGACCAGTTATGATTCTGCTAAGTTATTTTAGAATATAAAGACCTTCAATCCCTAATCTTTTCCATTTTTGTTGAAATAGCTTCATATCAGCTGGATATACTATATGCCATAGCAGATATACCCTTACAACTTAAATTTTAAGTGGATTTTGCTTTTGCTAATTCAATACTGAAATATTTTAATGGCATTTCTCATTTTTTAATGTATTTAAATGCAGAAGTTACCCTATGCTGCTTATTGACAAAATTGTCCTTTGGGGAATAAGAAGACTTTTTCAACCTGACCTATTACATTTGATTTACTGATAACAAAGTACCAACATTTCTCAAAATGCAGTGGATATTCTCATATATATCAGAAATATTAATAAATTGGATTCACAAAAGAATGTCTTACATATTATTGACATTTATGTGAATATTCTTTATACTGTTGTAAATGTTTCATGCAATTTAATAACATTTTTAAAAGATGTATGTATCTGATTTTCCTTTAGAAAATATATTTTTATTTGTATTTTTTACATTTTAAAGTTCATCTCTATGTGCAGCTATTTTTATATTGCCAAAAAAAAATCACATAAATACAAAATGAGAGAAAATGCAAAAAAAAAAATATTTTGGCAAGCATTACACTGCATATTTTTCTTAATGTTTTGTGGGCCAGTCTCATATAATTGATTATTCTAAGAATGTGTTGTGTCTTACCACTGTAAATATGGCACAAACCTGTTTTTCTTGATAGTGTAAATAATTGAAAGATTGAATTCTCCCTGTTTGATTTCTTGTTTCATTTCACTATCATTTCTCCAGCTGAGATTACTGAATCAAAAGACACAAATGGTTTTTGATTTGCAGCCTGGAGATAACTGCCTTGTGTTCAGTTTCTAATTTGTTTTTATTTGCTTTTTTAACTTGTTTTCAGGGTTCCTAGTTTGTGAGAAGTTGATCTTCATAATTATTTTTACACTATTTATGACTTATTTTCATAATGTAAAAAGTGTGTAATTATTACAATATTAATCCAAACATGGTCATGAATTGTATTGTTATAAAGCTTTATTGATGTTCACGAACACCTTGGTCTGTCTTCTCTGATTTAAACACAGTCCATGAAGAATTTTATTCTACTTTTCTACAGTATTGTAACACTACTATTCAACTTAGTGCTTTGCTACGGTGATTTTCTACCAAGAAAAAAAGACATACTTTCCGTTAATTAGATAGTGAAAACTATACTGAGCTTCTCCTCCAAATTCCCTTTTCTTCCAGAATTATCCATCTTGAATTAAACTCCCTTATATTCAGTTGACTCTTATCTGTACCATATCAAATCAGGGATTAGAATGTAGTACCTTTTCCATTATGGCTTATTACAGGATATTGAATATAATTCTTTGTGCTATACAGTAGGACATTGTTGTTTATCCATTCTATAAGTAATAGTTTGCATCAGGTAATCCCAAACTGCCAATCCTTCTTTTCCCCATCCCCTCCCCCTTGGAAACCACAAGTCCATTCTCTGTGTCTGTGAGTCTGTTTCATCATTATCTTCATTTGTGTCATATTTTAAATTCCACATGTAAGTGATATCATATGACATTGTCTTTTCCTGACTTACTTTGCTTAGGCTGATAATCTCTAGGTCATCCAATGTCACTGCCAATGGCATTATTTCATTCTTTTTTATGACTGAGTGATATTCTGCTACTTATGCTCTATATCCATTATATGTATATATACCACAAGCTCTATATCACCTGCCAGTGGACATTTAGGTTGCTTCTATGTCTTGGTTTTTATGAATAGTGCTGCTATGAACCTAGTGTTGCATGTATCTTTTTGAATTATAATTTTGTGTGGGGGCTTCCCTGGTGGCTCAAATGGTAAAAACATCCACCTGCAATGTGGGAGACCCTGGTTTGATCCCTGGGTTGGGAAGACCCCCTGGATGAGGGCATGGCAGTCCGCTCCAGTATTCTTGCCTGGAGAATCCCCATGGACAGAAGAGCCTGGTGGGCTACAGTCCATGGGGTCACAGAGAATCGGACACAACTGAGCAACTAAGCAGACACATGCCCAGGGGTGGGCCTCCTGAATCACATGGTAGCTGTTTTTAGTTTTCTGAGGAACCTCCATACTGCTCTCCATAGTGGTTGCACCAGTTTACATTCCCACCAACAGTGTATTTCCTGCTTTTCTTTCTCATTTTCTTTTGCCAGATCTTTCCCCTCTACCTGACCATTAAATAATAATCCTCAGGATTCTGACCTCCATGCTTCTTTTTCTCTTTTCCACCATATTTTTTTCTCCAGGAAAGCTCATGTACTCCCGCAAAGATCAAGTTATTGTCGGCAATGCAGATTTTCTTCTGACTTCCAAACCAACTATTACAGACAAGTCTACCTGGATGTCCCACAGGCCACGCACATCTTCACACCTGATTCTCTTCCAAGCTTCCATAGCATAGTGAATGTACTGTCCCCTACCTGCCATCTAAGCAAACATGATGGAAGCGTCAGAATCCTTCTAGATACCACCTGCCTCTCATTACCCACCCACTGCTGCGCACAGGCAGCATCTCATTACCAAATCCCTTCAATTCTATCTCCCTAATATCTTCTGAGATCCACCTCCTTTTTCCTCATCCCCATTACCATTAAATCCATCTAGACTCCCCCCGGTTCTTTTGGGGGGACTTTTAGAAGAACCTTCTAAATGGCCTCCCTGCCTCTAATAACCAACTCCTCTCCACCACATATTCCATGTCACTCTGAGAGTGATGATAGATTTAAAGAAAGCAAATATGGCCATGTCTTATTTATGAATTTATCTTTCTATTTCATTTCCTATAGAATTTGAAGTAAATTAAACAAACACTTATAAAGAAATTAAATACATACATTTAAAAATAACCAAGGAAACCAGACTTAAACAAAGTTCGAGGTCACAAAGGAAGTTGTAATGAAAAGATATGAGTTAAAACTGTGTGACTGTGAGCTTCCTGGTGTCCATAACAAAAAAAAAAAGAAGTATGTCCATAATATATTTACATCATCTGTAAAGTGAAAATACTACTTCCTCAGAAGAATCAAAGCTGATTGACAAGAAATACCTTATGTGAGATTTCTCATGGAGGGTGCTATTGTTTAGGGCACAACTACAATGAACATAACAGCAGATTTTTGTAATATTCTTCATTATACATCAAGTGCATGTGCCAAAACCATCAACGAAAACAGTGATTTAGAAAACTAACCACGCCATTCCCTTGCTTAAAATCCTCTGTGGCCCCCCATTATCATGCAGATATTTACTTGGAGATAAAGTACCAAGCCCTTTGTGATCCCACTCTGCCTAGCATCATTTCCTGCTGGTCAGCAACCCTCACCCCATGTTAAACTATATGAGGATCCCTTTGCCTGCTTCCGAGGCCTGAAAACAGTCTCCATCCCATCCTCACCATCCATCTGAAGAATTCTTGCTCTTTTTTTAATTTTTTGCAGCCAGGTAAGCTGACCTTCCTCTTTTCTCCATGCGGGCCCACTGTGCAATAGCCACAAACAGCAGCCTCCTTGGTGGTGTACGCAGCCAGTGGCCTGCATGGGCTGCCCTAAGGGACCTTGGAGACAACCCTTCTGGTGGACATTTATAGTCGGCATGCTATCTCCAGTCTAGGCTCCAGACAGGTATGCGTGGTGCCTTTGGAAAGCTCCAGGGCACAGTAGCCATTAACCAAAACATTATGTCCATCCACACTAAGCTGCAGAACAAGGAGCGCGTGGTTGAGGCCCTCTGCAGAACCAAGTTCAAGTTCCCTGGCTACCAAAAGATCCACATCTCCAAGAAATGGGGATTTACTGAGTTTCACGTGGGTGAATTTGAAAACATGGTGGCAGATAAGCAGACGGCTACAGGCCAGATACATCCCTAATCACGACCCCTGGGCCGATGACAGTCTCCGCAGGCAGGAGAGCCCAGGTGCCGTCCCTTCCTCACTCAGAGTTTTTGTTGTGCGCTCAGTCATGTCCGGCTCTTTGTGACCCCATGGACTGCAGCCTGCCAAGTGCCTCTGTCCATGGAATTTTCCAGGCAACAATATTGGAGTGGGTTGCCATTTCCTACTCCAGAGGCTCTTCCTGACCCAGGGATTGAACCCACACCTCCTGTGTCTCCTGCATTGGCAGGCAGATTCTTTACCGATGAACCACCTGGGAAGCCCCCTCCTTAAGCATCAGTTCAGTTCAGTTCAGTCGCTCAGTCGTGTCTGACTCTTGGCGACCCCATGAATCACAGCACGCCAGGCCTCCCTGTCCATCACCAACTCCCGGAGTTGACCCAAACCCATGTCCATCGAGTCGGTGATGCCATCTCATCCTCTGTCGTCCCCTTCTCCTCCTGCCCCCAACCCCTCGCAGCATCCTTAAACATCAGTCAGTTCAGTTGCTCAGTCGTGTCCGACTCTTTGTGACCCCATGAATCGCAGCACGCCAGGCCTCCCTGTCCTTAAGCATACCCACCAGTAAATCCTACTTTTCTGTCAAACAAAGAATTCTTGCTCTTTCAAGACCCAATCCATGTGTCAACATCCTAAACACCCCTTCCTGCCAACTTTAAATTCTCCATCTTCTATGCTCCAATAATTACTTTTATTTGTCATTGCTGAAACACTTATCAAGTTGTTGATAATTACATGTTTATCTCTCTCCTCTACTAGATGGTGTACTGAAGATGAACCCAATTTTTATAGATTTTCCGTAAATATTTTTAAATGAATAGATGAGAGACAAAAGTTACAAAAACAACAATCTCACTCAGACTTGCCTATTTTATTAATGCACATAATGGATAAAGCACCCATCTTTCCTGGGTGATAGAAATGTTTTTGTTCAATGAGGTGACTCTGGGTGGGCTCCTGGATGGGGACTGATCATCAGAAAGACCAAATCATGATTAGACACCTTGGAATTTTCAGGTCTAACCCCCATTCTTACGAGAAACGAGACGGACCGGAAATGGAGTTAATGGCTTTGATGAACCACCATAAAATTCTAATAGTATGGGGTTCAGAGAGCCTCTAGGTTGGTGAATGCATGGAGGTTTGGGGAGACTGCTGGACCTTAAAAGGGCATGGAAGCTCTATGCCCTTTCCACATACCTTTTCCTATGCATCTCTTCCACCTGGCTCTTCATCTATATCCTTTTATAGTCAATTAATAAACAGTAAGTAAACTTTTTTAAAAAAATTCTCTGGCCTTACCTCTCATCATTCTCTCTCCTGTAGTTTTACAACCTGCCCTTATGTTTCAGTTCTTCAACCAAGCTCTTCTCTGTCACTTCCAGAGCCCCAGTCTGTCACTTTTTCATCCCTTCTTCACCTAAAACCCCACTTCAGCTCCCCAACTCTTATCTACCCTTCGTGTCTCAATTTACACATTCTTACCTCTGTGCTTCCTTTGCATCTTGGGTTTGATTTCTCACAGTACTCTCACGGTACTGTTCCACAGAGAGTCTGTGTTGTTTACTCATTAGTCCTCAATATCCAGCACAATGCCTGCAGGGAGTTGGCACTCAATAAATATCTGTTGAATAAATAAGTGGGAGAAAGCAATAACCCAAAGGGATACAGAACAAACCATCCAAGGATATTATGAGCAACTGAGTGTGAAACTATGAAATAGTGAGAATACAATCTTGCCAAAAATTGCATGATCATTCCATTAACTCGGACATGATAACATAGCTCTATAGGCCTGTTCTTTTCTGTTCTCTTACATCAATATCGAATCAATATCAACGTCAAATAGTGAAAGCAAAAAGGACTTAAGGGACCTATTCCTTATTTCTTTTGGACCAAGTTGTGTTCTCTAGAAATATCCTGTGAACTAGTAATGGGTATTCCACACACACACAAAAAAAATTAAATATAAGAATATGTACTGTAATGTCCATGAAAAGGATAAAGGATACAGTCTCCAGTGAACAGTTTGGAAAATGCTGCTCTACAATAGTATTTGATCTAAATCAACACCTGCCACGGCTCAGACATGCAGGCAGTCCGCATGCCTCGTGTCTT